CCCCCCCTCCCCCCCCCCCCCCCCCCCCCCCCCCCCCCCCCCCCCCCCCCCCCCCCCCCCCCCCCCCCCCCCCCCCCCCCCCCCCCCCCCCCCCCCCCCCCCCCCCCCCCCCCCCCCCCCCCCCCAGAGCGATGTTTGCGAAGTCGGAGAGGCATGCACCCACTTGATCAACATTTTGCCGGTGAGAAAGACTGTGTTGCACTATGGAATATGCTAGGTGATTATGCGCAGGCGGAACGAAATGCAAGGGCGTCGGGTTCGTGTCGTCGTGAAGATCGTTGCGGTCGTTGGAGGTGACACCTGCACAAACGTTCGTCGAGCTCTCAGGCAGCTGGAGCGGAGACAAGGTGGGGGAGGGGCGTTGGTTCAGGCGTGTAGGCACCGGTAAGGTAGAGGGCAGCCCGGGGTGAGGGGCGCAACCGCACCTGCGCGGCCCCACGCTGGATACCTACACTTGAAGTAAGTCCAGCGGTACCTGAGGAAGGTATCTGGGATTACCTCCCGTCCGGCTTCTTACTTGAGGAACCTGTTGCGATGTGTGGCCCGCACAATGAATGGGTTCGGAATTCAACTCTTGATAGATATCAGTCTTCCATGTACATTTCCAAAAACGAAAATTGTGTATTTTACGATATGTCAGGATGCACATTGCTGTACGGCGCGCGATAGTTGGCATCATTGTAAGCCTATGGTATGGTACAGAGGCGAGCTTGGCAACGTATCGTCAGATTGAGGAAATGGTGCTTTGTTACACGTCTCTCAATACAGGTATACCATTCAAGTGAAGAGCGTATCCGAAGCTTTCAGGGGCGTTTTCATTATAATACAGATCCCGCTGTCCAGGACCATAGGAATACAGTGGGGATTTGGAGCCGGACAAGAGGGCCCTTACTTCTTCTCGCCGTTCTCGAATACGTTCAGACCCAGGCCCTCCGAGTCGAGCAACAGCCTATTCTTGCTGCCCGCCTCCTGAAGCTGCTGAGCAATGGCCCGGGCGTTCTCGATCTTCTTCAGCTCGACATAGGCCTTGTTCTTTTTGATGGCCTCTCCAATCAGTTCCGCAGAACGAGCCTCACCCTGGGCCTTGACGACCATGGCCTGCTTCTCTTGGCGAGCCTTGTCTACGACGAAGGCTGCGCGCTGAGCCTCTTGCTGGGCGACTTGCTTCGCTTCCACGGCGGCGGTGAATTCGGGAGAAAAGGCGAGGTGCTATAGGAATCATGTCAGCTATTGGATGAGCGTATGCGTTACAAGTCAACATACCGTCAGAGACACATCGTCTAGGAGGATGTTGAACCGCGCAGCTCTCCGGGAGAGGTTCTCGCGGACCAACTTCGCAACCATCTCTCTCTGGGTAATGAGCTGGCTGGCATTAAACTGAGCAACGACGCTCTTCAGAACCTCGTTGACAATCGAGGGCAAGACTCTCTCGTCGTAGTCGGTACCGAGCGTGCGGTAGATCTGGGGCAAAGCCTTGATGTCCGGTCTCGAGAGAACACGGCAGGTAATGTTGACCATCTGCAGATCCTTCGTTCCGGTGAGGGAGGCGACGTTTCTCGGCTTCGCGCGGACATCGTAGGTGATGGGGGTCTCGAACCAAGGGACAATCAAGTGTGTTCCTAAGTAGGTATGTACAGTTAGCTCAACGCGCCCCGACATGAAGAGACAAGATCGCGCCGCGGGGGGGTAACAGGCGGGGAAGCTATTCACCTTCGCTGTAAATCTCCTTGCTCACACCACTTAACCTCCGGTACTTGATCGCTCTGTGACCACCATCGACGTTGAACAGGGCATTCTGTGCGAGAATCGCAGCACCACCGAGTAGAACAAGGCCTCCCAATCCCATTCCGAGGCCACGGGGACCACCAGGCATGCCGCCGCCGCCGAAGCCTCCTCGCTTCTGCTGCTGCTGGGCTACCTGCCTCAGGCGCTCGTACGCCTCCTCCATGGGGTTCCTTCCTCCAGACATGATGGATGCAGTCTGTCGTCGGTCGATGGCAAGAGTTATGTCAAAGGCAAGTCGGTCGGTTGCCGTGGTCGGCCAAAGTGACTGCTGCAGCTTACGGAAAGCTGTTGATGGTGGAGCTGTGTCAGTCTTCAACGTCACGATCTTGCGGAGCTCGAAAATTGATGTTGGCCGGTGCTTGCGGGAACCGTAGGAGCCACTAGCGGCAACTGGCTGGCACCTGAGGCAGCTGGCTGCGAGCAAGCTGCGTCTGGCTCTAGCCGTCATTAACTCCGGGAAAGCACAGACCAGATCAGCTTTGGCTGCCCCCTGCCACCTGGCAACCGGAACTCACAGCTGGCTCGAGTGAATGGATGATAGGTATCTGCATCAATCCTGCTGTTGTCCATACTTCAATGTGGGATATCATAATTATGTGATTTCCGGAGCAATATCTGTGGGGGCGTAATTGACACCCAGCACTACCCCATATCTTGCGCCGAGTTATTGAATCTGGTCATCATTACTGCCGCTCGCCAGTTATTGTAAATGGCATCTTGAGAACAGCACAGCAGGAATCGCAGCGGGGACATCGCGAGCCCAGCGAGAAGCGTAAGATCGCAGCTCGAGAATGTCAAATAAGCGCTCCTATCCGTTGATTCCACGTCGTCTCTAATCCCTGCAACTGCTTACTGCCAGATCTCTACCGAAGGACTACCTGTTTTTAGGTCCGAGCCTCTCCGCCAGGCTAGAGAAGGCCGACAGCAGAGAGTTCTATATGGCTGACTGAACTGACATTTGCCGTCTTGCTCTACGTGATGCCCCTTCGCATCAACTTCCGCAACATCTGCATTCGATATCAACAATCAAAACCAAATCCAGAAACTACCCTGTCCAACAGTCATGCCGACAGCAGCAGACTCTGATCTCAACTGTGCTGGTACTCAACCGGTGATATTGACCAGGCGACTACTCATCCGCCTCAACACCACGGCCGACGCCGCGGCCATGGCCCGTGGCGCGAACAATCTCAAGATCGCAGCAAACATGCGCAACACGTTTCCCTCGCCTTACCTTCTCGAACACGCCGAGGGCTGGCTCGCTCTCTGCGCCAAGGACACTGGCACCAGCTTTGCTATTTGCCAAGCGGACGACGGTGCTTACATCGGCAACATTGGCCTTACTCGCAACAATGACGTGCAGTATCGCACATGGGATGTGGGCTACTGGATTGCGGAAGACCACTGGGGAAAGGGATATGCCAGTGAGGCCGTACAGGCATTTCAAAAGTTCTGTTTCCAGAGCGATTCATCTGTACTGAGATTGGAAGCCTCCGTATACAGCTCCAACGTTGCTAGCCGAAAGGTTCTTGAGAAGGCAGGCTGGACTTACGAGGGTACTAAGAGACAGGCAGTTGAGAAAAACGGAGTGGTCCTCGATTTACTGCTTTTTTCAATTCTCAGACATGAAGTGTCGTTTGATTCTTCTTGAAGCTCTGTGGTGGAACTAAAACGAGCAGGTACTTAAGGTAGTTAGTTAGCGGCTCAACCTTGCACTAAAGCCAGGTCCAGTAGGTCATTATCCAGGCACGGCGACAATCAAAAGATGAAACAAATAGATATTCCGCCTTGACTCTACACTTTCTTCTTCGCCTCGGCAGAAGCAACCGCCGCTTTCACTGCACGTCGACCAAACTTCTTGGTCCAAGCAGCATCGTGGTAGTCGAGCTCGACCGCGCGAGGAGGCAGGCTTCTCTTTCCACCGTGGACTTTTGCTGCTGAGATGTTACCGCAGTCAGGACGTGTCAAATTGTTGCCAAATACGTCCACCGTCCAGAGTAGTACGCCATTTGTCCACCCGAATCCTTCTACTACTTCGTACTCTCCTCCGCTTCCAGCAACATTCGTCGCGTTATCGCCGTACTTCTCAAACATGATGCCTACGTCTTGCGCATTGAGTCCCTGGAGCTGGGGAGTTTCCTTTGTGGAACCTCCAGTCGCATACCAAGTGCAAAACGTGGAATCCAAATACCTCTGTCCCAGACGGAGGGCTAGTTTCTGTACATCGCGATAGGATGGGTCCGATTCACCGAAAGTGGCCGGGGTGTTGCGCAGCCCTTCCATCAGAATGTGCATCAAAGGCGGCCAGACATTCGGTTGATCCCATTGCTGTCCGGTCTTCAGGTTCGTTGCTGGAACCCCGCCGCCCTTGATTTCTAGGTACTTGTCGACTCGCTCGTACGCCTGCTTTACAGCATAAGGATTGTTCTTCAGATGAGCCGGTGCAGCACCCGTCCAGAATGGATAGTACTGGGAAACCGCGAAGACGACTTGCTGGTCTTGGTCAGCAGTGTCGGTTTCCATCGCAGTAGCGTCATTGTCTCGGGGAATGTATATGTTCTGAGCTCCAGACGTGGCGTTGTAATCGAAGTAGCTGTGTAGGGTCGAGTTCCACATGAGATCGTACATGGCCTGGCTTCGATTACTGGCTAGTTGTGTCCAGGCAGCCGCTGCTGTGGTGTTGTTTGTGGAGTTGAGAAAGGCTGCAATGGCCATCTCATTCCAGTAGAGTATGGAATTGAGATCAACAGGGATCGTGCCAACGACGTTCAAAGAACGGAGGGGAAAGTAGACGTCCCTTGTTGCATCCTCTGGTCGCGAAATCCAGCGTGAAGTATAGTCCCATCCACTCTCGGCCCCGCTCGCCAGGTTCGCATACACGACGGCCTTTTGGCTGTCATTGAGTGAACCGACTTCGGGATATATGATGCCATTTGCCGCATAATAAGACTTGTTTGTCGCGGTGACGTAGTCCTCTCGGTACGACTCTGGCCTGGGTTGGGTGTTTTTCACGTTATAACTTAGATATTTGGGTCAGCTGCCACTTGCGGCCTCGATGACCTCGAGTGTTTCTGTAACTCACTGGTTGAGACGATACGTTGTGCCGTTCTTGCTGACTTCCACCGTTCTGTTGGTCGTCCAAAAGTCGTGCTCTTTGATCAAGAGTGGAATGGCCCGTTCAAGCACACTTGTGTCATTCGTGAACTCAACGTAGAGGCGGACCATTTGCGACAATAATGGGGGCTGGGACCGATTGAGGTAGTATACTCGGCCGCCGTTGGGTACGAAGCCATAGCGCTCAACGAAGTCTAGGAAGTTCTCAATGGTGTTTTTGGAGATTTCGATGAAGGCACCACCGGTGCGTAGTAGACCTTCCAAGATCCTGATTGTCACGTTAGCAAACATGGCCGGTCTTGTCCACGTCAGACCGAATCAGACGAACCAAAAAGTGTCCCAGTAGTAAGCCTCTCTGAAGCGACCTCCAGCAACGACAAAAGTACGATTGAGTGGAATGAACGAATTAGGGCAGCCAGTGCAGTTGCTCCCAACGCCCCCGTAGGTGCGTGTCAAGTCGGGCCAGATGTCGATAACCTTGAGAGAAAACTCCTTGATGACAGCATCGTTGATTTTATCGAGGAACTTTGGATCTGTACGCAATTGATCCTTTGGGACAGCTTTGAGCTCGCCGCCGGCCTGTGCGAAGTTGGCGCGGAGGAAATCATTCAGCTCGGTGTTGTTGCTGAGAGGCTTCTTGAGCTTGTCGAAAGCGGCCTGGATTTCTTCCATTGACTTGATAGCAGGCCTGAGGGGCTGTCAGCGCATAGCAGCTTAGGGCCCGGTAATACCGGCATAGCGGCAATTACAGGGACAATTCGGGTAGGGCACGCACATGTCCACAAACGTCTTGGAGTCGGTAAAGGGACGCGCCAATTCGATTTGTTTCAATATCTCTCCATGGCAATAAATGGGCGAGTCGCAAGGAGCAATGACAGAGCCATTCTCGTACAGCCCCTGGACAACCTGTGGCAAGACAGCAAGAGCTGCCAAAGCCAGGGTGAGTGGAATCATCGCGGGTCGTCAAGCTCGTGAGCAGAGCAAGTCCTCACGCAAAGGAGTGCTCTCAGAAGGACAGAGCGGAGCGCGTGGGGGATACGGCCAACTTCGGATGAAGAGGCATGGAGGGTATTTAAGGAGCTCACGCCAAAAAGCTACAATTGTACGAAGCGAACTGCGGTCTGCAGAAATCCCGAGAGACCCCAATGGGAAGGCGAGCCTAGATGGGTTCGTAACTGCCAGAGATCGTCAACGCTACGATACAGACGCCACGGGAAGGCAGACCTGGCTGGGGAAGAGGGGGACAGGCAGGGGTTCAGGCAAAAGACAAGTTTTTTCAAGGATGTCATATTAGTGACCGGACGATTTCATCGATCCAATGCCGCATAGTCTTTGGTCACCGCCAACGGGCCGGTGGGCTTGGGGCAGAGTCAATTCCGTATCGTGCGCCGAGGAGGGCATCTTTGGCGCGGCACGGCAGACGACACGTCGAACGCCACAAGACGCAACCTTCTGGATTGCATCAAGAATTTGGCACACCTTCGCAGGGTACAAGTCGTGTTGGCACATACGCCTGCGTGGCCAGCTTTCCTCAGGTAGGGCCGGGAGAATGCCGCAATAGAGCCCCGGGCCGCCATCAGGGCGCCATTGGACCGATTGTACAGAGCCTGCCCCAGGTGTTCACAGCTCAACACTAAGGTACCTGGGCTTCGGGAACGTCTGGGGCAAGCGGGAAGATGGTGACCGTTGTCGTATGTCATTCCACTGTAGCGGTTCGCTGTGACGTCAGCCAGGAGCAAAAATCCTTAGCTCGTCAGTCTTGGAAGCCGTGTGTGTTTAGCGGGGTAAAGCTCTAGGCCGCAATCCAACGTTGTCATTGGAGCGCCGAAACGGCCATGCGGGGGAGTTCGGCGCTCCCGGAAAGCTTTCCCCACACTGTTCCGGACTCCCGTCCACCCCGTACTGGACAATCCACCCTGGACTGGGGTACGGATCTTTCTACTGCCGTAGATGTCGGTGGCGGTGGAAATGTCTTTAGTGTCGACTAGACAGGCCACCTGGTTTGCATCCCATGTCCTTTTGGGGGAGTTCTGATCGTTCATCTCGAGACACAAACCCCGGAAGAGGTGCTCATGCTCAGCCTGACCTTCAAGACAAACTCACCGAAGCAGACAAGACTCCGTAGGTGTGTCACACGATAATCTGTTCGTCGTTCTCGGTCTCGCCGACAATCAGCCTGCCTCATCATGCACAAGAAACGATACCGAAGCTTATGGTGTGATGCAAGCTCAGTGTTCGTTACGTCTGATGATATGCGTCTGTACCGATCCGGAGAACGAATTCCATTGGCCATTCCAACCGAAAAGAAACGACCCCATAATCCATTCCATGTGACGTACTGGCCACCGGATCCCAGCCTCGAGTGGTTTTTTTCCCGCCCTGAGGACATGCGACGATGACTATTTCTGCCGAGGAGGGAAGTCAAACAGGAAGTTCAAATAAGCACGCTGCTTCTATCTGATTGGCTTGGCTTGTCCCGCCACATCGAGCGTTTGACCATTGTAACAAGCGTATACCTTACCGAGGGCGGTAAATACTAGATGGACCCTGAATTGTTGTCGAGCCGTTACGACCGCCCTCCAATGCACGGCGGAACACTTGCTCCAACCTGGGCAAAACTTCATCCTGGTTCTGCGCAATCTGATAGTGCACGACCAATCGGTTACCACCCAGCTTCAAACCAACTTCTTTTCCTAGGGCAACAAAAGCTTCTGTGCTGCAGCCCGCAGCGTTTAGGTCGAGCCAGCACATGTTGGTTTCTACTGGGTGGACAAGGTTGCCTCCAAGGTCAGTCCAGAGCTTTTCAATCTTCTTGGCAGCGTCGTGAGAAGTTTTCAGGAGACCCCCCTCGCCATTTGGACCCTTTCCAAATGTTTCATCGACAGCGACCCTGGCGGGAGCCGCAACGACACCAGATTGCCGGAGCCCACCTCCAATAGACTTTCGAATCCATCGAGCATGCTTGATATGTTGAGCGCTGCCCACGACGATGCTGCCGATGGGCGCGCCGAGGCCTTTCGAGAAGCACAAGCTTACGGTATCGAACAGCGAGCAGTAGGCTGAAAGACTACCCGCTCCAGAGGCAACAGCTTCCCAAAGTCGGGCCCCATCGCAGTGAAATTTCAAGTCGTTTTGTCGCGCAAAATCGGCAATCCGCTTGACCTCAGCAAGAGGCGTAATGATACCGTTGATGGTGTTCTCCAAGCTGATGACCTTGGTGGGGCAGGTATGCACATCGTCGTCCAAATCGGCATTAGCGATGATATCCTCGAGGGTTAGATAGGCTCCATTGCTCGGCACGATTGGTTTAACCATGGCACCGCAAAGAGATGCGACACTGTGGACGATGTGAGTAAAGGGGGCAGATCATGCAGGGTGACGGTGATGCACAAACCCGCCAGCCTCGTATTTGACAATGTGCGACCGGTGGTCACACAGGACACTGTATGGAGGCTGAGTGAGCAGAGTCCTCAGTGCCAGCTGGTTTCCCATGGTTCCCGATAAGACGAAAAGAGCAGCCTCTTTACCGGCGAGTGCGGCCACATGGGACTCAAGCTCCATCGTGGTCGGGTCTTCCACAAAAACGTCGTCAAGCAGACTGCAGTTCTGGATGGCAGCAAGCATTGAGGATGTGGGAGTTGTCATAGTATCGCCTTCAGCCGGTTCAGTTAGTGGGGTGGTTGCAATGTTGATTGCCCCGGGATTAGACTCACTTCTCAGGTCGAAACCTGCGGCACCGCGGTGACCGACCCATGCATTTGGCTGCTGGATGGCATCGCTAGAGCCATTTGATGCGCTGTTGATGGCAGCTGGGGCCATGTTTGAGGATGAATGAACTGACGACTGGGTGAGGTTTCTGGTAGATGTGCGATTTATGAAGACAGCGGGCAGTGGTTGCGGGGTCAATCGGATGCAACGTCTTAGAAAGGGCGTGCCCAAGGGCGCACTCTTGCCGGGCAGACCTGTGGGTATTCCGGTTAGTCGTTGGCCCGAACCGGCTCCGACTTACGGAGCAGATTGAAGGGCAGTGCGAATTGGCAAAAGGGATTCGGGCTTGGGACGGCTGGCTGAGAGAAGACCTACGCAGTACACTTATTGTTGACATGACTGTCTTTGGGGTAAAAGAAATGGGCTCCTTCTACTGCGGTTGGCCTTGTCTTCTTCGTCTCCGGCGTCGGCGAGAATACGCGGATAGCTAGGTAATGGAGGGGAGGTTGCCAATCAGTCAGATACCTGAGATAAGGTACGGGGAACTGCGGCGATGACTTCAACCGTCCCACTAGACTAGATTTCGCGGCGATGGGAAGGCTTGATGGTCATTGGTTGAATGCGTTTCGCCATGCGAGTTGCGCGGTGTGTTTGGTATGTGGAAAGCATCCGCAGTTCGAAGTTCCATTGGGGTTGGCCAGGCGGGACGGGAGGTTTCCGACATCCAACCTCGCTTATCTTATCTCGATTGACCATGTCCTGATTTTTTATTGGCAGATTGGCAGAAGTGGATCTTTGGGGAAACAATGGAAACGACGTGGACTCCGGACGTGGACGGTCCAGTGCACCCTGCTCCAGGGCTGTGTCCCGTCGGTACGGAAGGAGTGGAGAAGAAGATCTGTTTAAGCCCCTAGGTACCTTAATAAGCATCCGTAAGATATTGTCGGCCAGCCGCAGAGGAACAAGTTTGACACTTGGGACATCGCAAAGTCATCTGTATGTCGAGGGGAAGACATGTTTCGCTGTGTCAGGCAAGACTATCCTGTGACTGGCGGCCGAGGTCGAAGCTTTGTCCAATATGAGGCAAGCAGTGGTGCGTCTTGGCCCGTGAACAAACTTGGTTGGTGTTCTTGGTACCGAGTGAAACTCGACAGCGGGATCCAGGTTTCGACGCGTCACGTCAAGTCAAGCGCATTCGATTTCGTCTCCAGAGAGAAGATAGCGGAGCGAAGGTGGAATCCCGCTGCCTTTTGCTACTGCCGCTCCCTATCCTGTCTTCTCACGTTGGGCAACGACGTTACTCAGCGCCAATAGCACGAGATACGATGAGGCACGCAGGGTTCTTGGCAGCCACCCCGAGGCTCAATCTTTGCCTCTTGTTTGCTTGCGGTAGTGATGATGTCCAACTATCTGCAAATTTGAACTAGGGGTTACACACTTGGAAAGGCGAACCAAAACGCGGCGTACTCTGTGTGCCCTGCCTGCGCTTGGCGGGTTGATGTACGGATACACCACACTGCCTGATCCGTATCCGCAAGACACCTGGGCTTAAGGTGCCTTGGGACCTTGAGGCCAGTGACGGGGACAAGCATTGAAAATTGGCCCACTTAAAAGTTGCTAGAAAAGCTTCTTTTTTCTGTTAAGCCCCTGCGAAGTTTGTACTAATCGGCTTGGCGGCACAAAAGTCAGCACCACTGCAAGGGGAAGCTCTTCCAGCTATCGCAAGGTACATGACCAAACACCCGGCGACATCCCGTCCATCATGACCACCATCCAGGCTGCCGCCGGAGGAGCCTCCAGCCTTCATAGGTAGAGGCCCTCTGTCGTCCTGGCGGAGAATGTCTTACCCAATGACGCCGCACCCCCGACTCCCTCAGCTATCCATCCCCACCCTTGGATCGTCAACATACGAACGACATGCCAGTTGGCCAGCCTTCTTCCCATGGCCATTCCCGCCCGAAACGCTCCTTGATAACGAAACGCCTTACCGCAAGGCATGAGGCGTTCCAGGCATGTCTACGCCTGTCAGCGCACGCAGAATCGTGGCACGGTCTAGCCTGTCTTGCCCATGCCCACGGACAGACGAGCTTTGGCCGATATGGCTTGACCCAGGGGCTCCCTTGGTTTCTCTGAGGCGCCGTCACACACTTATTAGGGCCGTCCGTCATGGTGCCTGAACCGCTGGCATGAGCTGACGCTGGCCGCCGTCTTAGCTGGAGTGCCACAGTTGCCTCCCGCTCCTTCTAAACTTCGTTTTGCTGCGGTTGGGCACCGAACCTAATACATGTGAACCCGTGTTTGCCATGCACGGGAAAGCACACCGTTGACTCTCTATACGTTACCTTACCTTACCTTACGTAGGTAGTTTAAGTCTTGTGTGGGCCACTCTTACCTCACTTATGTAGCCAGCATTCCCACCGTTTCCCCTACGGCAACCCGAAGTTCTTCGCTTCCCAACGAGATGAAGACTATCCAGACTCTTCCTTCTACATCCTCATAACCCTACGATATCCGGGCCGTTGACGGCAGCTTGGATAACCGACATCTTTTATTAGCCTCAGTCTCGCATGCCACCCTGACGAGCTACCCTGCCGCGGCTTCTCTTTCGTTCACCCTACGGCCTGAATCATGGTGCTTCAATGGCGCACTGGTTCCTCAGTACCCCTGAAAACCATCATCTTCTTCGTCGTTTGCATCCTCCTATACGCCAGCCAGCATCCTGCTCTTGACCGGTTCGACCACCGCATATCAGGTACCGATTTGTCCTTGCAGCTGCCCAAGAACAGCGTCGATTTTGGTGGAAACCAGAGCGACAACCACGCCTTGAACACGTCGGATGCCACGCGCAAGTTTTGTCAACACCATGGCTACTCCGTCTTCACTCCACAGCCGGGCGGCGGGCAGCGCAAAGTCTACGACCTGTTCATGGTCAACACGGAGTTGGATTGGCTCGAGATACGCCTGAACACGACCTACCACCACGTCGATTACTTCATTATTGTCGAATCGCCAAAGACATTCACCGGCAAGCCGAAACCTCTTACTATCAAAGAGAACTGGGATCGATTTAAGCCTTACCACGACAAGCTCATCTACCATGAGCTCGAGTTCCCCTCCTCGTTCAATCCGACGCGGTCTTGGGACTACGAAGACCTCCAACGTAACGCCATGTTCAGCCAAGTCTTCCCCAAGCTCATCGGCGAACAGGCCCCCGTGTACGGAGACGTGATACTCGTGGCCGACGTCGACGAGATCGCTCGACCCGAGACGTTACTCGTGCTGAGAACATGCCAATTCCCTCGAAGACTCACGTTGCGTAGCCGATTCTACTACTATAGCTTCCAGTTTCTCCATAAAGGTCCCGAATGGGAGCATCCGCAAGCGACATACTTCCAGGGCTCGCGGACGATACTGCCGGCAAACCTCCGGATGGGTAACGGAGGCTTCAAGCCTATATCAGCTCTGGACAAGGCAGACCTCGGCAATGCGTGTTGGCATTGCTCCAGCTGCTTCGCAACGATGGACGAGTTTCTGACCAAGATGTCGTCCTTCTCGCATGAGTGGATGAACGGCGAGAGGTTCCGAGACAAGAACCGCATTGCGGAGGCCATCAGGAATGGCAAGGACCTGTGGGGCCGAGCCGTTGACCAGTTCGAGCGTCTGGAGAACAACACGGACGTACCGAGCATGTTGCTGGACGAACCCAAGAGATTCGGGTATATGCTGAATCGAGATGGTCCTTCGGCCGGCTTTGTTGATTACCCATGAGCCTTCATCACGGTTTAGTCCCGGGTTTGTACCGCCTTGTATATTTAGTGCGTTCCCTTATTAGGGCCAAACGCATTCGGCGCAATGGATGGTGGTTCTTGTTCTCGATCAACAGGCATATTCGCAAGGAGTTGGAAACGCAGGGCTAGATTGGGGTAATTCACATCTGTCTTATGGGTGTTGGTTGGTTTGTCTGTAAATTGGCTCAATAAAAAATGTTTCTCATTATCTCGAGTGACATTCCTCGACGAGAAGAATAACCAGACATGGTGCAAGCGCAGGTGGTTCATCAAGATCCCGCCAGCTTCACCAAAACCCGAAGAGTGGTACCTAGTCTTCTATTGGAGACTTAGGTCAGTGTGTGGAATTCTCACCACTATCTTGGGAAGCCATCCGCATCGTTCATACCGTTATTTAATGTGTTCCTGATACTTTGTACATGCTCTGCAACTACCCTCACACTGCGTGGACGGCTTCCTAACAGTAACTATCAAGGCATCACAGAGGCGGGATGGTGGGGCACGAATACCGATGCACCGCGCTGTGGGTTCATCGAGTTCCACATTCCCGCTTCCATGTCCGTTGTGTTCCACGTCCCGTCCGTCCGTGTGTGCCTACCTTACCTAGGTAGGTTGGGTGAAAGCCGCTCAGTCCACTATAATTTGTAGCGACCATCACCAGGAAACCCCTGGCAGCCATCGTAGCATTCCCCTTGGTTGTTATGGGGTTGGCTAGATTTCTGTGATTCTTGATGTGCCTAGGTTATCATTGATATCGATTGTTTAAACCTGGAAACCAAAGCAAAATAACATGTGGCAGCCGCCGTTGTTTCTCTTTTCTTTCCGCCAAGATCCAAAGCTCTCTCTCCTCTCCCACACCACCACGGGGAAGAAAAGGAAAGAAAAAAAAAGACAGCAGCGGGAAAAGACAACACAAGACCCCCTCCCCAAGAAACAGACAACGCACGCCGGCATGGCATCCCGCCGCATCCATGCCCACAGCGATGGGAAGAGTCGGTTGGTCGACCAATCAGTGCGCCCCGACAGCAACCGGTGCATTGATGCGCGATGCGCTGGCACTCCTGGTCTGTGTGTCTCCGTCCGCGCAGCCGTCAGTCCAGAAAGGAATGGCAGAAAACCAGGCGGGAAAGAATAGACAGGGCGAGAGAGAGACAGACTGACAGACTGACATAGAGAGAGGGAGAGAGAGCGAGAGAGGAGAGGACGTAGGAAAGAAAACAGAACCAAGAGAGGGAAACAAAACAACTCCCCTCCCCCCTCCCCCTTTTCCCCGTCGGTTTTCTTCTCTTCCTTTCTTTTCCATGCTGCTTGACAACCTGTCCGCTACAGAAAACAACGCGCCACCCCGCTCTCTCACTCACCCGTCTATGCGACAACTTCTTGGCTGTTGTCTGTTTACATACTCACCACCCTTCTGTTCCTTGGTATATGCAAAATGCAATTTACCTCAGTCGACGACGGTCTTTCTCATTTGTGTCATCTTACCTGGAGTGAAGTATTCACTCGCAGTCCTCACGCTCGTCTTACGCCAAAGGGTTTCACATCAAAGTCGTCTTAGACCTTTACACTGCACAGAAAGGCCTGGGAATAAACCCACGTTTCATACATCAGTGATCGAGTGATCGCGTATCAGTCATAATAGTCATTGACCTACTTTCGTAGCATCGTTATCGTCATCCTCTGGCCTGCTAGCTCTCTTCCTTCAACTCAGGCACTCGGGATAATCACCATCCTTCCGCCCTCTCGATCCAAATGTCCCGACCAAAGAAACTTTGCCAAGAACAGACGGCCGCCTGACTCCAAACATGAAGTCGGCGACCTGCCGAATCCTCCGAGAAAAAACCTCCCTTGTGTGCCACGGAGTCAATATGTAATGGGGCCGAGCGCTCATTCGCTCTACTGATGCTGTCGCAGACCGACCGACAACGCCGAATATTTCGCAGATTATGCCAAAGCTTCCATACGCCAACCTCGTCAACCCCTACGCCCGACCAGTTCTCCCAACCACGTCTCGAACCGAACCATGTCTAGAACATTCACATTGCCCCTTCTGAGGCTGCGTGAGCGAAGCCAAACGATGGCAGTCCGAGGCTTAAATGGAAGGACACCCGAAGCGCGAGAGCATGGCGGCTCATCTGTTCGCCCATTTCATCAGCCACTGTATGACAGCGTCCAAGTTCGTCTCCTCCTTGGCGCTGATTCCGTAGCAGCAGACTTCGCGATGGCCTATGGATTTGAGATCCAAAGCGTCAATCAACTCATCAACCGACAGCTTCTCTGGAAGATCTGACTTGTTTCCCAGAACTAGAAGCGGAATCTCTCTCAACGATGCCTGGCCCATCAGGGCATGGAGCTCATCGCGAGCTTGCTGCAACACATCCATGTCGGCTATATCGACGATGAAAACGATGGCGTTTACACCACGGCAGTACCTCTCCCACATCGTCCGGAACCGGGGCTGGCCGCCAATATCCCAACACTTCAGTGTAACGTGCCCCCGTTGCACCCGCTTCATGTTGAATCCGACTGTCGGGATCGAGCTACACGAGATCTTGGTTAGCCGAGAATGCTGCTAGCCGTAACTGCAACACCGAGACCGGGCACCTGTGGCTCTCGAGGCATCAACAAAACAGGGGAAGGAAAGAAACCGCTTACTCGATCGTAAACTCGCCGCCCTAGTGAGGTCAGAGTCAGCACACGGAAGAAACAGGATGGGTGGGCAGCGGGCGCGAGACGGGAATCGCCCGAGTGGACTTACTGCCAATACCCGAAGGAGTGACGTTTTGCCGGCGTTTTGAAGCCCGATCATGGTCACATCCATCTCCGTCGCCCTACCATCGCAAGTCAGCCACAGCTGCAACAACCATCACCGTCTCTGAGGGGCCGAGTGGGCGCAACGGAACGGCGGCGGGGTAAGGTAGGGTCAGAGCGCGCGGGCCGTCGGTCGCTGGGAATCACCCCGCTGCCTATCACCACAATACGGTATACTTACCAAAATGTCCTCAACAACCAGTCGTATACCTTTCGGAAAAGCCCCGCCATGGTTGTGGGTGGAGGGCGCGATGCGCTGACGCGAGTGAAAACGTAGGGTGTCCCAGGCGTGTGAAGCCGTAGTCGCAGAGGGTTGTCGGTCTCGAGTTCAGTCGCGGCTCACGGATACAGGACGATGTTGTCGCGCGAGGCTGGTGGTCGACAGAGGCGCGTGGTATGTCTCGCTTGTCAGAAGGACAGGACGGCGAGACGGTGAGCAGGAAGTCGGTTGGGTGGGGTTGTGGTTTTGACGCTTAAGTATTCGATGCGCTCAGACGCCTGTCGAAATTAGGAATAAAATGTCTCGTATGACCCGTGGTAACCGACTGAATGTCGCAAGTCAAGTCTCGCGAGCATCGACGAGGAAATGCGCAGGCCGATGACTTTGTGCGATGATGGGGGCGGAAGGATAGGTAGAGACGTAGAGCGTAAAGATAGGCTCGAAGGTTCGGTCGCTTCTCGCTGGCGGGTGATGACAAGCAAGGAACAGCAGCGGCAGCGGCAGCGGCAGCGGCAGCAGCGTAGCAGCGGTGCAGCGGTGCAGTGGGCGGGAAGTTGACCCAGACCCAGGTGACGCTTGGCCTGGCCTGGCAGTCCAAGGGCACCTTAGGTTTGTCGGCGGCGGGCGGAAGACGTACCTCAAGGTATCTAGGTAGCTAATGTGCCGAAAATCTCCACCAAAAGATAGGATGGAGGGGGATCCAAATGGGGACTGGATCAGGAAGTGCAGATGATTCTGAAGGTAGAGCAAGGTACCTCGACCCTGGCTGGGATGGCGTCTTGGAGATACAAGCACAAGCTGTAGGATGAGCCGTGCTGTGTCTTCTTCGCGAGAAGTTCAAGGACGGATGGAAATGGAAGCGATTTGAGAACAACCGCGACGACGACAGGGCCTGCAGCGGTTAGCACTGAAGACTAGGGTTTCATTCGTTTGCTTCTACCGGGTGTTGGTGGAGCTTGCAACGGTAGACGCGATTGAAAGGACTGAGAGCAGAAGGGATCGGTGCAAGGTGCGAACAAACATATATGCCAAACAAAACCGCATACCTCGTGTGTACGGATAGGCCAACCAGGAAGGTTCGGGTATGCAATTTGCACTGACGACGACAGCGGCGGCAGCAGGGATGACGGCGAACGCAGTGAGACGGGAATAGAAACGAAAGACGGCGAGACAAGCCGTAGGCGCAGATGTAGAGGCGGAGAAGGCAGAGAGGCAGGGATTGTGAACCACCAGCGACACTCTGTGTGCGATGGACTTCCTGGCGACGTTGATGCTGCTTTGCTGCTAGAAGCACGAGCCAAACTGTCGCGCAGAACCTAGAATACGCCAAGTACGGATGAATGGGATGTAGCCGACGTCCGTGTTCGCTGCGGTGCTTGTGATCCGGCCGAGTTGCGATATCGAACCAAGGCACGAGGCGGAATTCAGATGCGAAGGAGAGATCCCCAGGATGGGTCGTATAATTATGGCCCCAGTCGATCGACGCGGGAGGTCTGCAATGTCTCGGCCCGCGCTGTCCCCAGCGCAGACAAGGCTAAGGCCTTTGAGGGGGTCGTAGGACAAAGCTGTCGTCTTCTAGCCTGTTTACCTGGAGGGTAAGGTGAGGTGATGAGATTGTGGTCGGTGCCCGGCCGCGAGCTGGTTGGTATGAATGGGTTCTCCAGTGACCAGAAACAGTCAGACCGTGCAAGAAAGGAAGGGAAAAAGATGCGTCGTGGGCGGCACGAGTTCAGATGTGTCGCGCCGACAATGGCTGATGATGGTGGACCGAGGCGGGATGTGTGCAATGGATTGCGCCAAGCTCCTCACGGACGGACGGCGCTCGGCGTCTAATGACGTTTGCGACTGTGATGGGAGGCTTGTAGGCTGCGGCGGGCGGCTCGCGGACAGTGACGGTGACGGGGATCGTTGGCGGCAATCTCTGTGAGGTATTCGAGAAACGATACGGCCTGAAGAGTTTCGTTGCGTTGCGGTGACTGAGAATGTGATGTGACCAGCGTGCAGGGCAGAGTATTCATAGACGAAATGGAATTCGGAACCTGGAATATTCTGGGAACAGAATGCAGGAGGCAACCTAGGTATTTAGTATGAGTTAACCTGCCGGAGAGAAAGAAAGGCACAGTCAGGCATGTTGGGCCGAGCAAGAGAGGGAAAGAGACGTGGAGGTAACCAACTACCTCAGGTAAAATACCTACCTAAGCTTACCTCAAGGTAAGGTAGGTTATTAGTTCGAATCCAGGCAGGCAGAGATAGATGGAGGCAGGAGATGTAATGGAATCAGTCGAGCTTACCTTACCTGACCTGACCTACTTTAGTACCTAGGCAGGCACCTACCATCCTCATCCTGCCCACCTCAACTGGAGGCCGAAACATTTTCGAGGTGCTGAAGCCGCAAGGCCACTTCACTTACACCTACACCATCTTTGATCTCACATCGCATCCCTTCCCATGTCCCTGCCTGCCTTACCTCGCTCCATACATCACCGGGCTTACACTTAGCAACCATCGAATCGCAGAACAGCTCCTCACAACCTTGGCCCACGATCTTAGGCCCTGGGTTGCAGAAGTTGGGCTGCAAGCTTCCAGTCCTACGTTGTTCCCCGCGCTAATCAGTACCCTTGCTTGGTTCATGATGCAAGCCAACTCTGCTTTCTGTGCGTGCTAGGTGCAGCTCCGGCAAACCTCCCAAATTCTGCGACAAGCACATTGGTGAGACTGTGGCCGCGGGGATCAAATGATGGCCATTGAAGCAATATGGCCACGTTATGCACGAAGACCTTACCTTGCCTTACAACCTTTTATCTACCTCATTGACCAACATCTTCGTAGAGCAACACCCACCCAGTGAGGTCAGATGCTTCCTTACCTCACTTGGTTCAAGCGTTCAGGATTCGAATCGATACGGCGCCGTCCCGTCATCTCCATCTCTGGCTGACACGAGCTGCTGACCCTTCGTCATATCTCTCCGCGATATCCTGGATGCGGTCCGTCTGGCCGAGTTTAATCGAGAGTACATGCGTGGTGTACGCCTGCCGTCCAGTCTTCCGAATCATCGGACGAAACTCAGAGTTCAATCCTGCCGCGAATAAGTAGAAGTGTTGGAAGCAGTAAGGCTGTCGGAAAGTTCACACAAGTCTCCCTCTCTCGCCCATTATTCCCAGCAGTCAGACCCGTGTCGCACTGAGTAACCACCGCAGCCTGTCATCGACGACCATACTCTCGTGACAGTTAAGGGGTAATGAACCATCAGTAACACAGACAGGAAGCGGCTGCAGACCAAGAAATGAGACTCCGAAGACAACGATGCAGCCACGCGTACGGATAAGAGCGAATAACTTCGCCGGCTTACTTCACACCGGAAAAACGGACTTGTTGAAAATCAGGGCACTCCCGAGGTCGCCTGGGTCGGGCTCGATGCCGAGAGAGCGCTCCTAGGTCGATTTCACCTGCAGACTGGCCCCGTAGATCAGATAAGTCACAGTACGGAAACTGTGCTCGATAACGGCTCACCACTAACATGAGCAACGCTTTCTGATTGGCTGTCTCATTTTTCCGCTCCATGGCTCCATAATAATTTTTTTGTTTTCACCGGGCTGCCGACAAATCGCATGCCTCTTCTCTCTGGTCCAGCAGCTCGCGGCGTCGTAGCAGAAGTTCATGTTCACCTTGACTCTGTCGCCTTCGTCTTGTGCAGAGTGCCGATTACCACCCACGTTTGTACTTGTATGACATAGCCTCTGGTACGCTTGCCCTCCGACTTTATTGCGCTCCTTCAGAAGCTAATTCCTGCAATCGCAGGCGACAAAGCGAGCGAACATGGCTCCTTCGGCGACCAACACCGAGTGGGATCACCAGTACAACACCCTCCGCCGCGAAAATCTCTTCCGGAACCCTCCCAAGGATCACACCGCCTACCCGGCTCTGCAAGAAGCTGTTAGCCCCCATATCGACTCCTTCAATGCCGTTTTCAGAGCCGACGGCAAGAGCCTCCTCGACCGAGGTCTAGAGGACATTGGCGTCAAGACCTACCTCGACGGCGATGACAGGTCTGGCCCCGAGGGGAAAAACCGATTGACTATTCGGTACAAGGGCGTCTCCCTCCAGAAGTCTCAACTGCCCCCATCCAACAAGTTCGCCAGGAACCGCGAGATCCTCCCGTCTGAGTGCAGAGAACGCCACTGCACCTACCGAGGCAGACTTTCCGCGACTTTCGAGTACAGGATCAACGATGGCGACCCCAAGGAATTTGTTCGCGAGCTCGGTCAGGTGCCCATCATGATCAAGGTAAGCTCATTTACTGGTTCGGCCGTGGCTCAGGAGTCCGCTGCTGACGTTGCCTGTGCAGTCCAACCGATGCCACTTGGAAGGCAACTCACCCGCCCAGCTCGTTGCGAAGAAGGAGGAGTCTGAAGAATTGGGCGGCTACTTCATTGTGAACGGAAACGAAAAGATCATTCGAATGCTGCAAGTCAACCGCAGAAATTTCCCCATGGCCATCAACCGTCCGAGTTTCCAAAATCGTGGCCAAGGCTATACCCCGTACGGCATCATCCTCCGCTCAGTCAGACCCGACGAAACATCACAGACCAACGTCCTTCACTACTTGAGCGACGGTAACATGACGTTTCGTTTTTCCTGGAAGAAAAACGAGTACCTCGTCCCCGTTATGATGGTCCTCAAGGCACTCGTGGAGACAAACGACAGAGAGATTTTCGAGGGCCTTATCGGGCTGTCCTCGTCCAAGTCGGCCAAGAACACGTTTCTTACGGATCGCGTTGAGCTACTGTTGCGCACCTACAAGTCGTACGGTCTCCATAGCAAGACTGAGACGCGAGCGTACCTCGGCGAGAAATTTCGTGTGGTACTGGGCGTTCCCGATACCATGTCCAACTACGACGTTGGTACCGAGTTCTTGCGCAAGATCGTGCTCGTCCACTTGGGCAACGTCAACGTCACCGAAAAGGAGGACAACGACAAGTTCAGAACACTGCTCTTCATGATCAGGAAGCTCTACGCTCTTGTCGCCGGCGACTGCGCCGTCGACAACCCTGATGCCATTCAAAACCAAGAGGTCTTGCTTGGTGGTTTCCTTTACGGCATGATCATCAAGGAACGCCTTGAGGAGTTTCTGACAACTGCTGTGCGATTGTCACTGAGGGAATGGACCAGAAAGCATCCGGCCACGCCCTTCACGTCGCAAGATTTCGCCAAGGATTTCCCCGCCAACATCTTCAGGCACGCCAATGAGAACATCGGAAATGGTTTGGAATACTTCCTTTCGACGGGTAACTTGACGAGTCCGTCGGGCCTCGATCTACAGCAGACAGCAGGCTTCACAGTTGTCGCGGAAAAGCTCAATTTCCTTCGCTTCATCAGTCACTTCCGAATGATTCACAGAGGTGCCTTCTTCGCTGAGCTGAAGACAACTACAGTCAGAAAGCTCCTGCCTGAGTCTTGGGGTTTCATGTGCCCTGTACACACTCCTGACGGTGCTCCTTGCGGTTTGTTGAACCATCTGGCGCACAAGTGTAAGATCATGACGGAAGCTGTCGATGCATCCAAGATTCCTGCTCTGGTGGCAGAGCTTGGCGCCGTAGAGACGTCGTCTGCTGCAACGGACGAGAGCGTCGTCATTATGCTCGACGGTAGAATCATCGGCTTCTGCACTCCCCGCGAGTCGTTGAGAATCGCTGACACACTTCGTTACTGGAAGGTCGAGGGCTCTCATGGCGTACCTTTGCAGCTCGAAATCGGATACGTTCCCCCTTCCAACGGCGGCTCTTACCCCGGAATTTACTTGGCATCTGCTCCCGCTCGTATGGTGAGACCTGTCAAGTATCTTCCCTTGGACAAGGAAGACTTTGTTGGACCTCACGAGCAGCCTTACATGTCGATTGCCGTTGTCGAAAACGAAATAGTTTCTGGAGAGTCAACACACGTGGAGTTCACTCCTACAAACATGCTCTCTATTCTGGCCAACATGACTCCTTTCTCCGATTTCAACCAGTCGCCCAGAAACATGTACCAGTGCCAGATGGGTAAGCAAACCATGGGAACACCAGCAACTGCTCTGCGGCACAGAACGGACAACAAGATGTACCGATTGCAGAGTGGTCAAACCCCCGTCGTACGATCGCCTTTGCACAACACCTACGGTTTCGACAACTTCCCCAACGGCACGAATGCCGTTGTTGCCGTCATCTCGTACACCGGCTACGACATGGACGACGCCATGATTCTGAACAAGTCGGCCCATGAAAGAGGATTCGGACACGGCACCATCTACAAGACGAAGAAGGTCTCTCTCAAGGACGAATCGAGGACGCGAGCCGTCAAGAACATCTCCAAGCTATTCGGTTTCGCTCCAGGTGGTTTCGTCAAGGGACACTACAAAGCTCAGCTTGACGAAGATGGTTTGCCGTTCGTTGGCCGCATGGTCCAGGAGGGAGATGTCCTGTGTGCATGGCACACGGTGTCAGCAGACTACAGCGGAAAGCTGATCAACCTCGACGGGCAGACCCACTACGAGAAGTACAAGGAGTCCGAGACAGCATTCATCGAGGAGGTGCGCGTGATTGGAAGTGAGACAGGTAACGAGCCCGCTCAGACCATCTCCATCAAGCTCCGAGTTCCCCGATCTCCTGTCATCGGTGACAAGTTCTCCTCTCGTCACGGACAGAAGGGTGTTGCCTCTCAGAAGTGGCCGGCCATTGATATGCCCTTTTCTGAATCAGGTATTCAGCCTGATGTCATCATCAACCCTCACGCTTTCCCTTCTCGAATGACCATCGGTATGTTCGTCGAGTCGCTCGCCGGTAAGGCGGGAGCTCTTCATGGCCTGGCGCAAGACTCGACGCCTTTCAAATTCAACGAGGAGAACACGGCGGCAGATTACTTCGGCCACCAGCTAATGAAGGCTGGTTACAACTACCACGGCAACGAGCCTATGTACTCAGGCATTACTGGAGAGGAACTGGCGGCTGACATTTACGTCGGCGTCGTTTACTACCAGCGTCTTCGTCACATGGTGAACGACAAGTATCAGGTGCGAACAACAGGACCTGTTGTGCCGACGACCGGTCAGCCCATCAAGGGAAGAAAGCGTGGTGGTGGTATCCGTGTGGGAGAGATGGAGCGTGACGCGCTGCTCGCTCACGGTACTGCCTTCCTCCTGCAAGACAGACTCCTCAATTGTTCAGATTACACCAAGAGCTGGATCTGCCGCAGCTGTGGTTCGTTCCTCTCTGTCCAACCGACAGTGTCGCCGTTCGTGGGTAAGAAGAAGCAAGTCACGACAGTCCGTTGCAGGAACTGCGCGACTCAGCTGGACGCTAGCGATGCAGCCAGCGCCGCGAAGGTGGAGGGGGAGATTTGGGAGGATGGGCAGGGTAACCAGTGGGTTGGAGGTGAGAACACGACTGTTGTCGTCGTTCCTGGTGCGCTCAAGTTCCTGGATGTTGAGTTGGCGGCCATGGGTGTGAAGCTGAAGTACCGCGTTGACTCCCGCGACGCACCCCGCAAGGGCCCGTTGAAGCCCATGTCATCATTACCTTAGACGGCGTTTGGTAGGGAAAAGAAGGAGGCCACCTCTGTAATTTGATCATGATTCTAATTCAGGCATCGTTTCAATAGCTTCGTGACAATCGTGTCTGTAATTATCCCTGCGGTCTAGCTCAAGAGTCAACGTATGAGATTATGCACGCATGACTGGGCGGCGACCTCGATATGAAAAGCCGAAGGCCGACGCGTTTGGCAAACATTTGTTCGTCAGCCACTGCGGAAACGTATGATCACCCCAAGCCGCGTCTGGGAGGCATTGCCGTTTGTGTAATGCACGCAACCGACCGCGGGAGATGTTCGAAATGAAAATCGTAGCACAACAACGCTGCTAACCGTGTGCAAATGCCATAGAGATCGGTGACCCGGTTCGGCCCTGAGTGCGCGCTCCGCAGAACTCCTTGGTTGCATTTGCAGAATCTGATGGTGTACATGTGCACACGGCAGTACCTGATAGACTGGAAAGCTAGGTAAGGTCAACGGCCAGTCTTAAGGGAGTTTCATTCAAATGAAACCAACAGAAGATCTCGCAAACCATTTAAGAGGCAATGATTATGTGATGTACTTAATGGCTGGGCAAAAATGAGTGTTTGCTTGCCTCGGGAGACCCAATCTACGTCTGGTGTCTCTTGTGAAGAAGGTGTCCCTTTAGAATGGCTGTGCCAGATTCTACACTCTACAAAGCGCATTCCGCCGCAAACATAAGAGAAAAATGGGGTTGGTTGCGGCAGTATTGCTGGTGGATGTTGGTCGATGTTTCCCGTCCTTGAGGCGCCTGCCGCTTGGCTACAGACTGGCCTCATGAACCAGACATTAGGTAGGAAAGTCTCGTACGGCAGTGCAGCAATCTTTAATTACGGAACTGCAGCGTGCCACGCACGCTATTGTCTGTTCTCCGTCTAATTGAACCAGGGCCGTCTTGGTGTCCGGTTGCCATCTTCTGGCGCCTGACCTGATATCTTACCTTGGTCCTCTCAACTGCCCGCCGTCTTCATCTCGACACCCTACCATCCTTCCCTCGTACAATGACGGGCGCACTCAAATCCACCGCTGAAGCATTTCCTGACTTTTGAACACCCAAGACCATTCTGTCCCACCAACTGTGTCCTCAGAGGCGGCGGCCGTACTCCTGTTTCCTGGCCGGCTCAACCGAGGCAGGTCTGCAGCTCCCCGGGGCTCGTCTCTCTCTTTTATCCCCATCTCAAGTATCAGACCCATCTCGATTCTCAACTTCTATCTACCTCCGTTCATCCCGCTCGACTGCTACCAAGATCGCGTGGCAATGGCATTTCGTACCGCCTACTGCCTGTTCATCGTTTTCATTGCGGCCAGCGCTGCAGCGACCCCGTACTCGCCAACCTACGACTATGGCTTCGATGCAGCAAAGCTGGTAAAACGCCAGACGCAGGAACCCATACTTGTCAGCAAACTTCCCTCCATTAACGGGTCCGTTCCAATTCGGCTGGAGATTCGACAGATGAAGCAGAATCCATACAAGTGGAATTTGTTTGTGCTCTCCATGAGCATGTTACAGTACACCAACCAGAACGACGAGCTTTCGTGGTACCAGATCGCAGGCGAGTACCTTTCATCGAGCAGTAGGTCGCAGTTTTGACATTCAGCAGGTATTCACGGTGTCCCTTTTGTTCCCTGGAATGGCGTCCCTGGTGCCGCCGGGGTCGATGACCGAGGCTACTGCACTCACATGTCCATCTTGTTCCCGTCATGGCACCGCGTATATCTCGCTCTTTACGAGGTTGGTTGAGTTTCCTCCCAGGGCCTCGTTTTTATGCTGAACTTTTGACAGCAAGTTCTCTTCCGTTTGGTCCAGACAATCGCCACTTTGTTCACCGACCCAAGTGAACGCGCCCTTTATCACGCAGCTGCGGTCGATTGGCGGATTCCATATTGGGACTGGGCAATGCAGCCGCCAACGGGGGAGGCCGTGTTCTTACCCGAGTTTGAGTCGCCTGGAATCCAGATATACGGTCCCAACGGATGGCAGTACATTGCGAATCCCCTCCACAGCTACCAGTTCAAACCGCTCGACCCGAAGGTTTTCTCTGAAGGCGATGTAAGTAAATAGAAACTGGCCGAGGGATCAGGGGACTAACAAACCCAGTTTCCCACATGGACAGAGACCAAACGAGCGCCTTACGAGATCGCAGACAATCATAGCATAGCGCAATCCATCGAACATGCGAGGCCGGCTCTTCAGCAGAGACTCTACACTCTTTTATCAAACTACAAGGACTACGGACCCTTCAGCAACAAGTACTGGGGCACCGCAACCAACCAGTCCCAGTTCGACTCGGTCGAGGCGCTTCACGATGCAATGCACGTGCTGGTGGGCGCCCGCGGGCACATGTTCTACATCCAATATTCCGCTTTCGAACCGATGTTCTTTCTTCACCATACGATGGTAGACAGAATCATCACCCTTTGGCAAGCTCTGTATCCGACTTCGTGGGTGGTACCCCAGGTTGCGATGGAACATTCGTTCACCATGCCGCCGGGTACGGTTCAGGACGTACTCACTGACCTAAAGCCCTTCTTTGCCAATACCAGCGGCGCATTTTGGAATTCTGCCATGGCAAGAGATACGTTGCCATTTGGGTACGCATACGCTGAGACGAGTCCTACGCCGGGAAGCTCTAGAGCTGAAGATCGGGCACGCCTCATATCCGCAATCAACAGGCTCTACGGATCGTCCAGCCCCTCGACTCTGGTCCAAAAGCGTCGAACAGCCTTATCGAGTCGCGATCGGGGACCCTTTACACCGATTCGCAAAGGCACTGTCCTGGCCGATGGGTTCACGGACTTCTCACGCGAGCCCCAAGTCGCCTCGAAACTTCTCAACAACGACAACGTCTACACAGAGTGGATCGCCAACGTACATGTGCAGAATGGGGCGCTGAACGGTTCTTTTTCGATCCATTTCTTCATTGGCCAGACCCCCCAGGACTCGAGTTCTTGGTCTGCAGCGCCGAATCTGGTTGGGTCGATGGACGTCTTCGCTATGAAGAACATGGGTTCTGGGAACCATATGTCAGGGACCGTTCCTTTAACGTCAGCTCTCATGCACATGGTGGCAGCTGGAGGAGTGGCAGGGCTAGACCCAGGCCAAATCGAGCCGTACTTAAAGACATTTCTTCAAGTTCGCGTGGTTGCAGAGAATGGCAAGGTGGTACAGCCCAGGTCCATTGACAGTCTGTACATTCAGATTGCGAGTTCTGAGGTCCAGGCGGCCAGGAACGAGTGGGAGCTTCCCAGTTGGGGCCCAGTGGTCGCGAGGTTCGAATTGGACCTTGCTTGATGGCGCTGCTGAGTAAACGCCGTGACTGATTATAGTGGGTTCCATGAGATGTCTGTCATTGGGCTCTCCAAGTGCATAAATTGTCCTTCTTGAGATAGGTAGTCGACTTTAATGTGTAATTTGTTCCCCAAGAGTCAACATTACTACCCGACTATTGCGCTTTCTCGGTTGAATAATTGTTGTTCGCAGTTTGTTTAGTGAGGTGACGCAAAGGTCACGTGTACCCAAGCCACACCTAGCAGCCTGGATAAGGCCCCACTCGCTACCTTCCTGAGGTACCCAGATACGGGATAGGAACTTTTCCGAAGCTTCAGCCTTCCCGTCCTCAGCGGCTTGGATTGTCTACCAAGCCCACGTTCAAGTCGCGACAACCTCGAAGCCGACCACTTTACCACACTTGACGCGCGACACACGCGACACCGCAAATATGAAGCTCGTCAGGTAAGCATCTAATGTGCCTTCTCATCCCCTCGCTCCGTGTGCTGAGCTTCCTTCGCAAAAGACCGCCACGAACAAGAGCGCCAGAGCTAACATGGACTGCCTGTCATTAGATTTTTGATGAAGTGCGCCAACGAGACGGTGACAATCGAGCTTAAGAATGGTCAGTAGTCACTGAGGGCTCCTTTTCCACTCACCAGGGACTCTGGCTAACGCGTCTCACATACAGGCACCATCGTCCACGGCACCATCACCTCCGTCTCGCCGCAAATGAACACGGCGCTTCGCACAGTCAAGATGACCCCCAAGGGCCAAGACGCCGTGTCTCTCGACACGATGAACATCCGCGGCTCCACCATCCGATACTTTATCCTGCCCGACTCGCTGCCGCTAGACACACTCCTGATCGACGACGCGCCGAAACCCAAGAACAAGGCCCGCAAGGAGGCCGAGCGTGGCGGCGGCGGCGGCGGCGGACGCGGGGGCAGAGGAGGTCCGCGAGGGCGTGGACGTGGCAGGGGTCGCGGTCGCGGTCGCGGTTAGATTGTGTAGGAGAGGGAGACGACGCTTCCTAGCTCTGCAGAGGGACGACAGGCACGCACGTTACACGCCACGAGCGTTGAGAATCCTTCTGCGAAATGAAACAGCTGCCGACATGCCGTTGACGGGGAAGACTACTGCATATACTTGGACCCGGCTTGGAGGGGAGGGCGAATTTCTTCTGGCGGTTTCTTCCCAGGCGTGAAAGCCGCAAACACTTTACTGTTTGGCCCAGAGCATCAAAAAGTACCTTATGCATCAAGACGAACCAGATGCTCTTCAGGCGTTGGGGGAGGTAGGGAAATCAAGACTTCAAATCCAGTACGGACGTTCGATGTCAGCGACGACGATCTCATCACTGTGGTACATTTAGCGGTGGTGCCGTTGCATACGTCAAAAACCGAGTTTAGTAGCAAGACACAAGAAAAAAAAAACATTTGCATTTCTTCGTCACGACACCTGTTGCCTGTCTCTCCATACCCTGATGATCTGCAATTTTTCCCATCCAGCCTGCTTTCCGCTCTCACCCACGGTGAGGGCCTGCCAACCGTTGCCAAATCCCTCGATCCGGCTCTTGACATCCTGCGGCTTGTTCTGCGCACACAACAGGATGTAGGCGCAACCTCTCGCCGAGAGCACGGCAGGCAACGCCTCAATCAAACGATCCGTCGTTTCCATGCCGTCCTTCCCGCCTGCGTAGGACAGTGACAGAAAATATGAATCCTCGTCAAATGTCGTTTTTCTCTCGCCAATCAACAGTGTCTCGGACGACTGGTCAGGCAGCTCCGAAGAGGGCACATACGGCGGGTTGAAGATGAGGACATCCACGACACCGCTCCGTAGCGGAGATGTCAGGTCGCTCATCGTGGCGCCGAGCCAAGCATGGCAGCTCGTCTCCTCGTTCTCCTTGCGCGCGCGACCGACGGTGCCGTTGGTGGCGCGGCACGCGAAGCTGTTCAGGTCTAGGCCCGCCGTCAGTACGTTGCGGGTACCAAACAGCTTTTGAGCCTGGGCCGCGACGAATCCGATCACCACACCCGAACCCGTGCCGACTTCGACGACCAGAGGTGCGGAACCACTGTCTGAGCCGAAGCGAGACGTCAGGAAGGCGGTTTCTGAAGGGGCGGAGAGAGTGTCGAGGAGGAGGTACGAGTCCTCCGCTGGCTCGTAGACCCGGTCGAAGGGAACATGAGATGTGTCCGGTGTAGGAAGCATGGTTATTCGTCTTCAAGGTGTGTTAGTTATGTGTGTCTTAAGAGGGGCGGGAAACCGACCGAGGTTCGTCATTCGAACGCCCAGTTAATGTGACACCAAAAGACGTTTTTCTTGTTTGGGGCACTTTTGTGTAGTTCGTTGCAAATTCAGGTATTCCCAGCTTCACGTTGTTTCGCCAGTAGTTTAAACTTGGTTGCTGATGGCCGTTATCAGAGATTTGAGTTGAAAGGGAAAAGTCCAAGATGCATACAAAATCTCACAACTAGAGAAAAATGTGGGGTTTAGGTTTAGACAGCAATCATTCACGCCTTAGGAGACGAATGGCTTATACTATCGGAATAAGTGTCAACCATTCTCAGTGAGCCGCATACTAACTTAAAACCGCGTTTCTCATTGAATTATAAACATGTGAATCGCGGCAAATGAATGCCATTTCAAGACTTTAATCAATGATGCCATCGGGCAAGAAGCTGACATAGTCCAGCGGCGCCACCTCGGGTCCGTCGGGTGTTCCAACAATCTTCAAAGTATCTCCCTTCTTGACTTCGACGCCGGGGAAATTGATTCGAATGGCCGAGTGTCCGTCCAAGAACTCAGACGGCCAGTGACCCAACCTCTCCTCGCCATTACCCCTCCACTGGCCAACCACCTTGTCGTTGATGTAAGCAACGTATGAGCACTTGCCCCTGATCACATCGAAGTAGTTGACAGCCAGAGTATAGGTACCGGACTCAAAGTCAACGACTGCACTGGCCGTCCCGGTAGTGGTGTTGGAGCTCGTAACGATAGCCTTATAGCCAGATGCCGCCTCAAAGGGGTCAACATCGACAACCTTGTATCCGTCCAAGGTCATGCTTTCGGCCTCAATGCGGTACTTGTAGTTGCCCACACGACCCGCCTCGTCGGCGATGCTGGACTTATTCCAGTAGAAGTTGTTGATGGAGTCACGCCAGACGAGAGAGTGACCGGCCTGGTACTTCAGCTTGAAAAGGACATGTTCGTAGCGCTCCTCATCGATTTGGCCTTTGAGAGACTCCCACATTGGTACGAAGGTTTGAGCAGTGGCTGCGCCCTCGTAGTGGGCGTCGTAGAAATGTTGAATGACGGTCTTACCACTCTTAAGCCTGTGAGTGTAAGGAACGTGATGAAACCAAAGCAGCAGGTCATCTGGAGTTGTCTCGATGTTCTCGTATACCTCAGCGACCTCGGCTGGATACTGCCCAGCGTTTCGGGTACCGTTTTTAACGGTCCTGTCCATACCGATGCTGAAACCGTCTGCCCTCGTCCACTGCCCCCAGCCATTATTATCCATACTCGTCGCTGACGGTCCGTAATGCGCATAAAGTATATCTGTAAGTGTTTGAATACCCAGATTACCGCTGTAGTTTTCATAGGCAGGCCAGCTTTCCATTGACATCTTCGTGATGGTGTCGACGACGTTGGGATTGAGGCCGAAAGTCAGACGGGTCCAGTTTTGAACGATGGCGACAACATCATCGGTGGGGCTCCATGCTAGTCTACCGTATGCGTAGAGGTTGGACATGGCCAAGTGGCTGCCGAGCCAAGTCGAGTTGGCGCCGACGTTGATAACACCAGCGTATCCGGCGAGAGTCTTGTTGAAGCGCTTGCCTGACAGAATGTCGTGCATAACAGACGGCTGGCCGTCGATGCGCAGGTCAAAATCAAGAATGGTCTTCCAAAGCGGAGGCAGGTAAACCAGGTGGTCCTGCTGGCCTAGGTATTCTTGGGAAATCTGGAGCTCGATAGCCATGTTGGTGTGCTGGAGGTTGGCGAAGAGCGGCGACACAGGTTCGCGGACCTGGAAATCGATGGGACCGTATTTGATTTGCACGACAACGTTGTCATCAAACTTGCCATCCAACTCCTTGAAGAACTCCACAGCGGCGTTCGCTCGGTCCGCGTGCCAATCGGTCCAGTCCAGTTGATCGTAGACGAAGGCACGGAACATGACGATGCCTTTCTGGAAGCCATGGTTCTTGAGCTCTCTCGCGAACAAGTTTGCGCCATCCGCGAGCGTTCGGTTGTATGTGATCGGGCCTGGCTGACCCTCCGAGTTGGCCTTGACAAGGTATCCGCACAGGTCTGGAATGCGCGAGTACAGCTGCTCGGTGATGTTGCCCCACCAGGCGATGACGGACTCATCGAGGGGATCGAAAGTTGACAGGTTGCCAAAGGTCTGGGGTGAAGCGAAGTTCATCGAAATACCGACTTGGACGCCCCAAGGTCTGAAGGCATCGGCGATTCTCTTCAACCCGTCCATGTTCTCCGAAGAAAGGAGGATTGGGTTCGCGTTGACGTTGTTGACGATAATTCCGTTGATTCTTGCGGAAGCCAATAGACGGCCGTATTGAGAGACGCGGGTCATGTCGGAGACGACTTTGAGGTTTTCGAAGAAGATGGAGACTCCGCCATACTGAAGAAGTTAGCAACATCCCGGACATTGGTATTGACACTCATAAAACCGAGAGGCTTACACCACGCTCAATGCTGCCGTGAGTTCCAGTGCCGTCCATGTTGTCCCATTGATTGGCCCAGCGGATGTTGGCAGACGGGTTTGTAGCATACGCAACCTCGCTGAAATTGCCCTGAGCCAGCAAGCTCAAGTACTCAAATGCGCCATACAGAGCACCCCTCTCGTTTTGTCCCAGAATCTTGACCGAATCGCCCTTGACGCTGAGCCAGAAACCATCTTCGATTAGGTCCGCCTCCAAATCGTTGGCGCCGCATGTGGAAACATAGTCGTCGAGGGTAGCAACGACGATGGAGGAGCCATTGCACGCTTGTTGGCCAGCGGTGATCTCCTTGCCGAAAATGCCACGGTAACCCTTTTTCAACTCAGACAGAGCCGAAGATATTGGGCCGTTCTCTGTTGCATTGAGTCCGACAACCGTGGATGGTAGTGAGCCTGCAAAGCCAGCGGAGGCGTACTCCGGAAGCCTGGCATAGCGCAGCCAGCCGTCGAGGCCGTCCTCGGCGGCAACAAGGCCGACGAGTGACGCAAGGAAAAGAGTCTTCCGCATATCGGGTGCTGCTGGACAGGACCAGTTGGAGAAGCACTTGCTCTTAGGCTCATAAGAGGATTCAGGGTGACACTGCTTATTATAAGGACAGCTCAAACAGCATCATGGGCAGCCATCCGAATCTGCGAACTCGCAGGAGACGACTCCTACAAGCCAGCATTGGGGAAGCCAAGGACCGGGGCAAGTAGCGGTAATGGCATTATCGCATTCAGGCTAAAATGCGCCGACGTATTCATCCATGACTTGGAGTGGAGAGCATCGAAGCAGGTACGGACGTCAGTCGAATTAAGTCGTTATGGACCCATCGGCAGTGGGACACTTCATTTTGAGTCTAAACGGCGACATGCGGAGAAACTGCGCTAGCGGCATGGATGAGAGAGGGGAGAGGCTTGGAAGAGACTGTCGGCCCAGATTTAGGGGTGAATATGACCCGAGCATATTCGTGGCCGAGGCAACTGTACGCGACTTGTCTATGAGGTTGGGGTGGCCTACCGAAGTAATCTGAACTTCAGATTGGTCATTGATCTAAATAGACTACGTTAAAAAGGGGGTTGTTGCTTGGATGGCATTGTTGATACCCAAGATCAACAAGTAAACAAAAGGAGAGAAGAAAATGTGTAATTCCCCGCACGAAGCTCTGAGGCAGCGCGGGGTGAATCGGGGGGAAAGAAAGCGGGGAAGAGAACCTGAAAAGAAACCACCGGCAGTGCTTCGGGTACCTAGGTATTAATTACGGACATGACTACGCAATACGTCTAAAAGGTGCGTAGCGGTCTGCCGTCCTGATCCTTGGACGTTGATCACCAGTTTAGCCTGCAATTTTACGAATGTAAAATTCCCAATTTCATGACTCGAGATAGAAAAAGTCGAGAGTCTAGGTGCTGGAGGCAGGGCCATGCATGCCACTCGGCGCTCTTCGGCAACCTCGGTCGAGCTCCTCCGACGAACTGGAACCCCCCGGCCAGAAAGCCCAACCTAACACTTGAAGCAACGCCCGTGTGTCTCCAATGCCAACCCGGATAATGAGCTCCTCGATATGTCGATTCCGGCAGAATCGTCATCGTGTCTTGGCTCTGTTCGATTCCACGTCAGCTCTCAAACGTCGACCATCATGTGCGGGCTTGCTCTCTCACCTCCAAAGCTTGCGTCCACGGCAAAGCTTCTGCCACTCTTCTCACATCACCGTGCAGCAGGTGCATTCGATTCCCGCATCCTGCTTGTTCGGGCCCGTGCCGAATTTGATGCCGTTGGTGATCTTCTTGATCATCCGTGTCTGGTTGCGGTCGTACAGTCCGTATAAATCATGTCTTGGGCAAGGCCGCAAGTCCGCCAGCTGCATTCTAAGAGGCTTTTTGGCGATGCCGCTTCCGAACTGGCCACAGGTTGTGTAGCCCATGCCAGGCCCGCAAGAGATTGCGATCTCTCCCCAGATGCATTTGCACTCGACGTGCTTGTAGATGATGACTTCGCACATGCTCATCCGTTTGGCAATTGACCGATGACGATGAACCGTAGCTTTGCCTGATTGGTGTGGTGTTTGTTGAGAGGGCCGTCGAATTCTCGTGACGATGGATGTGAAATGCGAGCAAACGGCAGGAGCAGATTCTGTCTAATCCGAAAAAAATCCCTTTTTTTTACAATCAAACGAAATTTGCCGTGTTGCTGCGTCTCTGATTCACCTTGTCAGTGCGAGAAGCCGCCGAGCGAGCTTCTAATGACAACTTGTAGAAAATTTCTTGCTACTTGAATTCCTTACACATCCTCGTCCTGGCAGTAGTTTGACCAACGCCAATTGCCTCGCCCGAGTGACTACTTTGGCGATTGAGTCAAAGATGCGTCCATGTCTCGGAGAGTGCTGCTTTCCCCTGTGCCAAAGTTCTTGTCGGAATAATCGTCAGAGCCCACCATCCGAGCCAACAAGTTCTCAATCCTTAGTGTTGACTGCTCCAGTGCCTCCAACCTGCTGTTTACATCGTGCATATCCTCACTGCCGGTAAATGATCCTCTCAACTTGGACGAAACGCCCGGGAACATCGAGTCTCTCCTAAGAGGCGATTTCTTCCGCATCGTATCGTTCGTGATCGTCCTAGTGAATTGACGTCGGATCATGTGATGGGTGAAGTCGTCATCCACGGCGATCTCTTCCTCCACAGAATCAGGAGGCGGCAGATCAAACACGGCTCTTATGTCGCGATGAGCTGTTATACGCCATTTCTCCCAGAACCACTGCTTGACCCGGGGGTACAAGGTCAACGTTCCACCTGTCTTCGACTTCTCTGGCTGCGGAGGGGGCCAAAGAATCCTCCGTTCCGCGACGGCGATGATGAGCAGCAGCGGAAGATTGACGAGCCTGACGCTTGCTACGTGTATCTTGTGGAACCAACGCGGGCCAAGAACGAACTTCAGGGGAAGAAGGAGGAACACTGCCAAAATATTGAAGGGAGGCTGGTATGCAAAGATGGCATCGCCCTTGACGCCTTCTAGGGTCAACACTGCTTTCCGGAACTGGATTTCAGCGGTGGCGTTCTTGACGATTGTGCTAAAAGTGTTGGAGAGCATCGATACGAGTATTGTGAGGAACAGTGTGTTTCCTAGGAAAGCGAATGCTACCATGAGGACCGGGCCCAACAAGGGGTGAAAATCGGCCTTTACAGTTAGTCACCGTTCGTATGATGGATCGGGTCACTCACCGATCGCGAGATGCCTGTACCGTCTAGTCCAAACCAGATCCACAACATCCACTTGCCGATCAAGCTGTGCAAGAGCTATTAGCAGACTCGAAAAGCGGTCAGATCGATGGTTGCTTACACTGGTGCATGCTCGCCCTCTCCCGGTGGGCCTTCGCCAAGCCAAAGAAGGGATAGGAGAAATCCGCCAAAACACCAAGCCGATAGGAACGTCAACAGAACAAAGTCTGACATCATGGAGCGCAGAGAGAGAAAGACAAGATTGTCTGACAGCAAGTTAAAAGCAAGCCTTGGTACTAGGACGGGAGCACCCATTGCCAGGACGTCCAAAGCCTGCTGTTTTGGAACAAGTTCCCCGGTACGACCGCCATGGATACGAAGGACCACATATATGGCGTAAAGACCGATGAATCCTACGTCAAGAAAGGACCATAAGTTTTGGGTGTAGACATGCCTGTCAGGTAATTAGAATAGCGACACGGCTTCTCTGGATGGTCTACCTACCAGCCGTGTTCCAAAATTGTCGCAAACTGGTCAAGAGACCATCCAAACGCGAAGACGGCAAAGCAACCTTCCAATAGAGTGAACTTTTCGGGATTTCGCTCAGCCATGACGAAGAGGTAAAGGGCGAGGAGAACCATGAACTGGAAGACTTCTAAGATGTTTCTCGTACGAGGTACGAGAAGCCGGTATTGGTCAAGCAACGGGCCTTCCCGGGGATTATACAAGGAAATAGGCTTCAACTTGTAATGATCAGGAATGATATCCATAAAACTTGAAGGCGTGTAGACAATGCGGCCTTCATAAATGGCGTCGACGCTAGGAAAGCTGGTTAAAATTTCGATCAATTGAAACGCAATGGAGCACCTACACTTTCTGGCAAGGGGTTGCGCTCAGGAAATGTTTGCTCTCAGTCAAGATGGCGATCTCAAGCGAGGGGAGCATGCGGTTGTAAGAACGGTAAGTCTCGGTCGAAGCGGCTTCGCGAATGCCAGCCGGAGCCATTTGAAAAGGTTCAAAGCCAGCAACTAGAATGTGCGACAGCAATACCAAACCTTCAGGACCCTCATTGTCCTCGCTGAAACGCCTCAGAATACGGGTCGCCACGAGCTCGCACAGTGTTGCGCGGCTGTAGTTGACATTTTGACGACTGTTGAGATGTGATTGCTCATGGAGGAATTGTGCGCGATTGACAAGCAAGCAGTAGACTGCGGTCATTGTTAAAACAAGCACGGCTACATTCAAGCAGTGACGCTTGGCAGAGCCAGTGAAGAGGTGAAGCAAAACTTACCTATGGATATGTCGTCGAGCTCATACAGCTTGTCGACTAGGGGACGAACAACAGCAATATTGATTCTGACATCGCGAAGCTGCTCCAAACTGAGATAATCCTCTACGATGGAGATGATGTCTCGTCTGATGCGATGTATGTTCGTGTACACCGGGAGGTGACTGTGAGGGTTAGTCATACAGCCATAAAGCGGCACTTGCACCTCTGATGTATGGCTCTGACGATTCCGATTGAGAAGCGGTCGTTCTTCCGGAAGCTGCAGTCGCGTCCGGCGACTGCGTTCGGACATAGTAGATGCTTGCTACTATGGTGCCAAAGTAACAAGGTGATGCAGGATGCAAGTTGTTCGGCCAAGACGACGGTCTACCTAGTGGCAGCTAGGGACGCTGCTAAGCAATGTCGAAAGCAACTGGGTGTGTGTGGTGTAGGTAATAGCTGATGCGGAGGATGTTTGACGGTTGAGGCGGACGATGATGGTGAGAAGGACCAGTGAAGACGCCAAACCGGACCGGACCCGGGCCCAAGTTGCCTACGGACAAGGTGGCAAGCAGAGGAGCCCCCACGCGGGCTCGGCCTCAATCCGACTGCGTGGCTCGGCTTCCGAGAGAACTTGGTAGGAAGTGGAGGGAGTGGTTGTACGATAAAAGCAAGGTTCTCTTCAAGCCGCGACTCTGCAGCCAGGGGGCGATGCTGGCGATGTTGCTGGTCGGCGGAGAAGGACGTTGATATAGATAGGTAGTCGGGGTGGACGTGGATACTTCAGTACCTACGTTGCGGCAGGGCAGGGGGGTTTTGTCTCCACGCGGTCAAGGAGGAGCAGAACCTCCAGCGTCTTTCCAAGCTTGCTTTGAATGCGACAGGTCCGGGGTAATGTAGGGAGCTGCCCGTCAGATCTCTTAGTGCAATGCGAGCGAGACAAGTAAGGCGGGTGAATGAGCCTGAGACGGAGGAGGATAACCTACCTTTCCTAATGTAAGGTGATGTACGATTGACTTGGTAAATTTAGGGAGACCAGATGGAAGGACGCAGTCGGGAATTTCGAGCCGACTCCAGAATCCCGGCCTACCACTGTCGGTCTGTTTTGACGCTTCCTCTTTTCTCCCATCCGATCTGAAGTTTTCGTGGATGACGACAAACGCCGACGCGAACCCCTGTTGAGTCTGGACTGTCCCAGTCTCGTCCTTTTAGAGTCCAACCAGCGTACATTCAGCTGACTTAGGTACCTACCCACCTTACGTAGGATGCATATCGGTCCAGTAGCGATCCAGCAGTGCGGTTTTGTGTTCTTGCCAAGGACGATTTTGCTGCAGTACAGATGGTAGGCACCTCAGGTCAACTCAAACACGTTTATCTGCCCGCCTACTGAGGCACCGGCAAAGGTACTACCGCACACGGACACTGGATGGTGCCCGTGCAGTCATCCATCCATCCCATTGCCAACTTTTCACCTATGCAAGTAGAGGCTATAACATCAAGTAGGTAGCAAATTTCACTCAAACACGGCACACCTTGTGCTTTTTGGACCAAAAGCTGAGTTGGCGTCCGCCCTGTGCGCTGTCTCCAGGCTCCACAATTGAAGCGTGCTACGTGCTACCTTACCTTACGTCTGCTGAAGATACGATGGAGATTAGACGGGACGATTAGAAAACGCCGTTACCTAAGCAAGCCAGTTTGCGGTAGGAGTCCTGGCTGAGGCGACGCTTCGCATCTTGCGGTGAGCCGCTGGTGGGGTTCCACAAGCATCACATGTCTCTCGTCTTCATGGACATTCCTGGAGAGCGTGCTCCCAAAACAAAAGACCTCCGTCACGGCCTCATCGACCACAATCTCTCACCTGGCCACTCTTTTCACCTCATCACGACGTTGTTCGGCCCGTCTCAACGTGGGAGTATTGGTACTTTTCATTCAAGGTGTTTAGGTACGGTAAGCTACGAGTTTCATAATCGCTACTCCCATCCATCATCATCCAGTGCGTCTTTTCTCTACGCCAGGCGTGTCTCATCAATTTTTACCCCAGTCCCCCAAACCAGTGTCAAGGAACATCAGGATTCGGTATTTCCATGTCATCATTAGTCGACCAAGCTTACAACTCAACGGCCTTGCGGAAGTTGGCGCCGGCGTAGACAGCGTTGCTGCCGAGCTCCTCCTCGATGCGGAGAATCTGGTTGAGCTTGGCAAGACGCTCGGAACGGGCAGGGGCACCCGTCTTGATCTGACCAGCACGGATGCCGACAACAATGTCCGAGATGGTGACGTCCTCGGTCTCACCAGAGCGGTGGGAGACCATGACGCCCCAGCCATCGGCGTACGAGTCCTTGGCGGCCTGGATAGACTCGGTAAGGGTGCCGATCTGGTTGACCTTGAGCAGCAGAGCGTTGGCCGACTTGAGCTCGATGGCCTTCTTGATGCGCAGGGGGTTGGTGACGGTCAAGTCATCACCAACGATCTGGATGTCCTGGGACTTGTAGAAGTAGCTCCAGGCCTCCCAGTCGTCCTCGGCGAAGGGGTCCTCGATGCTGACAATGGGGTACTTCTTGCAGAGGTCAGAGTACAGGGCAGCGAGCTCCTCGTAGGTGATCCACTTGGTAGGGTCGCTCTCGGGGTTCTTGAAGTCCAGGTCGTACTTCTTGGCGTCCTCCTTGTAGAACTCGGAGGAGGCGACGTCCATGGCAATGTTCATCTTGCCAGTGTAGCCAGCCTTCTCGATCGCCTCGGTGATGAGGTCAAGGGCCTCCTGGGCAGTCTGGATGTCGGGGGCAACACCACCCTCGTCACCGACGTTGCCGGCAGACTGGCCGTACTTCTTCTTGGCCAGACCCTTGAGGGCCTGGTAGACCTCGGCACCCTGGCGCATGGCCTCGGAGAAAGAGGGAGCGTCGCTGGATAACAAGTGTTAGTCCATGCTGCGTTGTGGAATTCGACAGAGCCGGTGGGGACCTACGAGGGGACGATCATGAACTCCTGGAAGGCGAGGCGACCACCAGCGTGGGAACTGAGACGCAAAATTAGCACTCATGCTCCAGACAGGGTGGATCGAGCATTTATTTGCTTACCCTCCGTTCAGGACGTTCATGAAGGGGACGGGGAGGACGAAGGGCTTCTTGGTACCGGCGAGGTCAGAGACGTGGGCGTACAGAGGGACGCCCTAGAAGCGGTCAGTACTCGAAAAAGCAAGCGTAAGTGTTGCACAAGGGAAATACCTTCTCAGCAGCACCAGCCTTGGCAACAGCCAGCGAGACACCGAGGATGGCGTTGGCGCCGAGCTTTGTCTTGTTGGGGGTGCCGTCGAGGTCGATGAGGAACTTGTCGACCTTGGTCTGGTCCTTGACATCAAGGTTCTCCTTGATCAGAGCGGGAGCAATGATGCTGTTGACGTTGTCGACAGCCTTGGTGACACCCTTGCCACCCCACTTGGTCTTGTCACCATCGCGGAGCTCGCAAGCCTCGTGCTGACCTGTTCATTGGGTATCAGCCTCATATCGTTCCGTCTCTTTGGAAGTATACATGTCTGTATCAGGACGGCGGCGGCTGCTGCGACGACGACGTACCAGTGGAGGCACCGGAAGGGACGATGGCACGGTGAAGGCCGGTCTCGGTGACGACGTCGACCTCGACGGTGGGGTTACCACGAGAGTCGTAGACGTAGCGAGCGTGGATCTTGGTGATGGCCATGGTGTGTTGTTTTGTGATGGATGATTCCTACGGATGGGAGGAAGAGATGTTAGCAAAGGATACGAGGGGGGAGGAGAAAGACTTTATATTGGGAGAGCAGAACGGGACAAGTGGGTGAGTCAACAAATGGTAGTGATAGGACCGATTCGGGGAAATTGCTAAGCTTGCGAGTGCTCCTTGACCGGACTAAACAATTGCCTCAGGGTGGGTGGTGGGGTGATTTTCTCGCAAGCTTCACATCCAACGCCAGCAGCAGCTTCATGATAGCGGGGAGCTAGCTAGCTGCTGTGACGATAGAGGGGGGATGTGCGTGCTGGAATCAGACTTACTTGTAGATGGGTGTCTGGATGATGAAGTCGTGCTTGATCCAAAGCAATTGCTTGGTTGTGCAATATGAGGCTTCAGTGATGGAGGAGAGGAAATGTTTGTGCCAGAGCAGCAGAGGGGAGCGCCTGAGGGACGAAGGTGGGAGAGAGGTGTTTTGGTCTTGGAGGGGTCTTTCCCTTCCAACCCCACCTGAGGTGAGGTGAGCCCCAGGTCAGGGAAGGGAACAGAGGCGGGAGGTACGAATACGTACAAGGGCAGGAGGCAGGTAATAGGTACTTTTAAAAAAGGTAGGATGCCTTACTCAATTCAGGTACTCACTCCGTACACCACCTACCTTACTTCACATCAGCTCAGGTCAGTGTCCAACTTCCAAGGGCCCGTTCACGTTGCTCGCATCTTCTTTTTGGTGGGTATCTCGACGTCGCCCAATTGCTCAAACACTTCAAGGGCGGGGCATCTGCCCTGTTAAAGGAATACATGGGTTTAGAGCTCCAAACGGCCAAGAATATCACAAAACAGCTTCGTTTCACAGTACCACCCTTAGCACCACCAACCGCAGCACTGGTGAGGGCCACGGCCTCAACAAACCAAGCAATGAAAATGCCGCCCTGCCAATACGACCAGACACGTTTCTGCTCGTGTCTCTCGCCATTGGGCCCTCATCTATTTTGGTCCCCAGACATGACCCCGCCGGCTTCAAAAATAACGAATTCGCTCAAGAGTCAGTCTCCGTGTCAAGTCACGAGAAAGCCCTCCGCTACTAGATATCAAGACATTCCGACCGTTTGGTGTCAGGGTCCTTCTCTGATTGGCTGCCCACATCATGTGTCGTCTGCACAACGGTTTCTAGCCTTCTCACTTTCGGGTGCCGCCCCCAGTGGGCTCTGTCCGCCGCTGGATGCGTAAAAGTGCATCTTCGACAATCTACAAGTCCCGACTCCCGATCTTCAAGACGTCTTTTCCCCGGGACCCCGGTCCAACAACGGAATGTTCATTGGCAATCGTCATTCAAGAATGGCCTTTTTACTCCACAAATCGTCTGGGACCGGTTATCCGCCATGGATTATCCCGAGGATGTTGCTCGGAACAGCCAGGTGCTAATGCGGTTCTTCCCGATCATGGATCCCGACCCCGTCTCCCCGTCCAGTAATGCCGGGGTAAGACATCTGTGGGCAGGTCATACTGTGTATTCTGGTATTCCTAGCTTCATTTTCTGGACCTGAAGTGGGAAATGACGTCTGTTTCTGTCCCGGGGTGGTGGTTCTTGGCGTGGAGAAGGGCCTTGATTGTCTCGTCTCTTGATCAGGAGTTGATATGCCCAAAGCTCGTCCAGCCATTTGTCCAAACCAAGTGATGGCCTAATCTGCCCACTACTTTCTTTTACACGTATGTATTCCTTGTTCTGAACCTCTGCAAATCAAGTGCGATGCAAATTGACTTGATCTTTGCACTTCGTGCTCTTATACGACGCGTTCATGATGCTGTGGGGTTGGCTGCGGTGTTGCGTAATGACCCGTCTTCAGCCGATGAGGCATTCACTTTGTGTGGACAAATACTCCATGTGCCGATACTATCTAGCCCCAGGCCGCGATTACACAATCTTGCCTGGCGTTGTCATCTATAGACGTCCTTATTTGTGGACGACTCAGAGGCCTGATTTCATTTCCTTGATAGGAGTTGTAACCCAAGCAGCCTGAGCATCGTCAGGTTCTGTGACAGATGGCAAAAGTTTGCTCGCCTTTCGCAGTCAGACTGAGAGGGGTAACGTGCGTACTAGGCTTCATCTAGACGTTCGCAGAGAAGTTGTAATGAGCATTGACCATAAAGCGACTGATGCTCTTGTCTCAGTTCACTGGGAGATGAGGCTGCAAAGCTTCTTCAAAGTTATGTCCACAGACCTTGTCGACATAAAATCCACTATGAGCATCGTGGATTTCGATTTCAAGCTGTTAAACACTTACCCGGCAACTCGGTACCTAGTCTTCTACCGGGATGAAGTACATACGGCTGAGCCGGATGCGCCCTCGGCAGTCCATCTTGGCAGTCTGCCGGAGCATGCCGGCGAACTCGGTCAATGCTTAAAGAGCAATCACGGAAGGACCGGGACCAAGACAAACTCCGGGCAGTAGACCCCGACCGATGGGGACACGGAGCGGCAGTGGGCCGAATCGGGTGGAAGCGGCTTGGCGTGAAGCTCGCTCGGGGCAAGACAACAACACTGCAGTCCCGTCGTCGGTTGTGACCTGAGGCAGGAGGTGGAGACAAGGAGATTTGCGCATCCGGGCGGCCAGCGCGGCCTGTGTCGGCGCATAGGTCCCATGACGGAGACTGGAACACAGTTGCGCACCTCCAGCGCATGTTAGAAGCTTTCTTTCCCCTCTCAGCGAACTGGACCCCGCGTTACATGTACCTACCTCCCTCCCTCACCTTCCTTAGACGTCCATAGCTTAGGTACCTACCTATGTAGGGAGGTAAGCTGGGTGTCCCGTCTGACCGCTTTCGTTCTTTTGTTGCTCTGGCCCCCGCCCCCTCCTTCATGGCTTTCCGTTTCGTAACCAAACGTACGGTCGACCTGACCTCACGCATCACATCGACCAGACGACCACTTGCTCGCGTGTAAGCTCTCCCATTCAATCGATTGACTGTTGGATTTTATTGCGCAGATTCCTTCTGAGCTAACGAGATTAAACAGCCCTCACCAGTTGAGGACTTACAGCGCAATCTCGACCCAGACTGCTACTCCCCGAGCTGCCCCTCTACGACGCAACCTTCGCCTTCAGAACCCTCAGCGCATCTCTGCTACACGACACTGCTCCTACAAAAGAAATATGTGCAGATTCGGAGAAGGTGCCGGCGCCGGCACTCTCAACTATCCCAGAGAGCTCCTGCCTACCAACGTCGTCCCCCGACACTATGATCTGACTCTCGAGCCCAACTTCGAGACGCTCAAATTTGATGGTCACGTCAAGATCGACTTCGACGTCACCGAAGACTCCAACACCGTTTCCCTGAATACTCTCGACATCGATGTCAAGCATGCCGCGCTTTCCCTGTCGACCGACGGCCAGCAAAAGAGCCTCAGCGACCCAGTCATCACCTACGACGAGCCGAAGCAGACTCACACATTCGAGTTCAAGGACCGTCTCACCAAGGGCGCCAAGGGTACGCTTGAGATCAAGTTCGTCGGCGAGCTGAACGACAAGATGGCTGGTTTCTACCGCTCATACTACAACAAGCCGGACGGCTCCAAGGGCATTCTCGCCACCAGTCAGATGGAGCCCACCGATGCTCGTAGAGCATTCCCCTGCTTTGATGAACCTGCGCTCAAGGCAGAGTTTACTGTCACTCTCGTCGCCGACAAGAACTTGACGTGTCTTTCCAACATGGATGTCGCCGAGGAGAGGGAATTGCCCTCAGGAAAGAAGGCTGTCCGGTTCAATAAATCACCCGTCATGTCCACTTACCTTGTGGCCTTCATTGTCGGAGAGCTGAACTACATCGAGAACAACGACTTCCGCGTGCCTCTGCGCGTCTATGCTCCTCCCTCTGAGGACATTGAGCGAGGAAGGTATGCCCTTGACATCGGTGTCAAGGCTTTGGAGTTCTACGAGAAGGCTTTCGGTCTCCCGTACCCCCTGCCGAAACTGGACCAGGTCGCTATTCCCGATTTTGCCGCTGGCGCCATGGAGAACTGGGGTCTGGTGACCTACCGTACCGTCGAAGTTCTGTTTGATGATAAAACGAGCGGTGCCGCAGCCAAAGAGCGTGTATCGACCGTCATCACTCACGAAATTGCCCACCAATGGTTCGGAAACATTGTGTCTCCAGATTGGTGGCACGCCCTTTGGTTGAACGAGGGCTTTGCCGAGTTTGCGTCACGTTACTCTCTGAATGCCTTCTTTCCCGAGTGGAAGTTGAAGGAGTCTTTTGTCAGAGAGGATCTGCAAGCCGCTCTTGGTCTCGATGGCCTCAGGAGCAGTCACCCCATCGAGGTTCCCGTCCACAAGGCTGAGGAGATCAATGAGATCTTCGACAGCATCAGCTACGCCAAGGGTTCCTGCGTCGTGCACATGATCTCAGCTTTCTTGGGCGAGGATGTCTTCATGGAGGGTGTCCGAAAGTACCTGAAGCGCCATGCTTGGGGCAATGCTACTACCAACGATTTGTGGCAAGCCTTGAGCGAGGCCAGTGGCAAGGATGTGGGTTCCATCATGAATATTTGGACTCAGAACGTTGGTTACCCGGTCGTCTCCGTAACTGAGTCGGGCAAGTCGATCAATGTTGAGCAGCACCGCTTCCTGACCACCGGAGACGTCAAGCCTGAAGAGGATAAGGTGCTTTATCCCATCTCGTTGAACGTTCGCACCAAGGGCGGCATCGACAAGAGCCTGATGCTCACGACTCGGGATGCGAAGTTCGAGATTGAGGATGCCGACTTCTTCAAAATTAATGCGGACTCTACAGGTTTCTACCGCACAAAGTATGCCATCGAAAGACTCGAGAAGCTTGGCAATGCCGCAGAGCTTCTTTCTGTCCAAGACAGAGTCGGTATCGTGGCTGATACTAGTGCCCTGGCCACTTCTGGCTACCAGAAGACGTCCTCTTGCTTAGGTCTGTTCAAGGCCCTCAGCAATGCAGGCGAGGCCGAATACCTTGTCTGGGACCAAATCTTGACTCGCCTGGGATCCATCAAGATGGCCTGGATTGAGGATGAGGAGGTCGTCGACAAGTTGACTGAGTTCCAAAGAAACATCGTCAGTGGCATGGCCCACAAGCTGGGCTGGAACTTCTCCAGCGCAGATGGTCACGTCGAACAGCAGTACAAGGCCCTCATGTTTGGCGCGGCTGGTATGTCTGGCGACGAGAAGGTTCTGGCAGCGGCGAGAGAGTTATTCGAGAAATTTGCGGCTGGGGACAAGACCGCCATTCACCCCAACATCAGAAGCTCTGTATTTTCTATTGTCCTGAAGTATGGTGGCGCGAAGGAGGTAAGTCCTATAGGTTTTCTGGCGAATGCGTGCGACAAAATTGCTGACAATCCCTAGTACGACGCCGTTCTCAAGTATTACGAGACTGGTGAGACGAGCGACGAGCGTAACAGCGCTCTGCGTACGCTCGGCCAAGCTCGCGACCCCGCGCTCAGACAGCGGACTCTGGACATGCTACTTAGCGGCAAGGTTCGCGATCAGGATGTTTACATCCCCATCGGCAGTTTGCGGTCTAGCAAGGCCGGCATTGAGGCCTTGTTTGACTGGATGCAAACAAGATGGGACGAGATCTATACCAAGTTCCCAGCTCAGTCTTCCATGATCGGAAGCATCGTGAGCTATTGCTCCAGTGGTCTCACGAAGCAAGAGCAGCTCGACAAGCTCGAGAGCTTCTTCGCTAATAAGGACAAGAAGGGATTCGTCAGAGCGTTGTCGCAGTCCACTGATTCCATAAAGGCCAAGATTGCTTGGACTTCTCGTGATACGGAGGACCTGCGCAAGTTCCTGGGCATTTAAGAGTATATAGTTTCTAGGCCACGAAGTCATAGTGGCAGGATCCAACGTTCTCAGGCGCTAGGTTTCAGGCCACAGAGACATCGAGTATCAAAATAATAAACTCTTGTAATTGTTTCTGATCAAGGATGGCTGTGTCGTCTTCATAGTTGAGTGTTGTGCCAATGATTGCATACGATGGGAGAGGTACGGCTCCTCCTCAGGTTCTGCCGATATGTCTCTTAGTCGCCATCTACTCTTCCTCTTCCTCGTCAATGGTAGGGGTCTCAAATCGACCACCTGTTCTTCCCAGACCGCAAAACTGGCCCCACCCATCAACCTGCTCGCTTGCGTGCTTGATGACCTCGCTGAACCCGTTATTGCCATTTTTGCTCACACAGAAGTATTCGTAGTCGACCTGGCTAATTTCAATGCCATTCTTCACGCTGAGTGGATACTCGATCTGGAACACAGGATGGCCACTGGCAACCAGAGGCTGAAAGTCGGAGCAGAAAGGCTCGACTTCGTCGCTGGTGCGTGTTCCCAGGCAAGTCTCGAGGACCGCGAAGTCTACGGTGGACGCCAGGTCGGGGGCGATTTCGGGTGCGTTCTTCTGGCCGATCATCAGAGACCGTCCCTCCTTCGTGGTGAGGGAGTGGGCGTGAGACGCCAGATTCTTGATGTAGGATGCGTAGTCGGAGGGTTTTAGGTTGAAGCCGGTCGGATCCTCGTCGTCCTGTGTTGTTGTGGTCAGTCGAGATACGGAGGAGTTCGGGTTGAGAGGAGCAGCTCACCTGCGCCCAGGCGTCGATGTTGTCTGGATCGACACCATCACAGCCAATATTCGCGGCTTTGCTGATGCGAGCCTTCATTGTCGTGACGACGTCCCCGTTTCTGATGTCGAGATATCGCTCATCCGCGTAGCCCTCGAGAGGCTTTTGGATCGCATCGGCCGGGAACTCTTCCTTGTCATCGTCCCAATCCTGCACGGCACCGCCATTGAAATAGCAGATGACAATTTTTCCCGCGGCCTAAAAGTATTTGTTAGTGAACTGTTTGTCAAACACGGTCTGGAGCAGCTAACTTTGAGAGTTGGGATCATGTTCGGGTGTTTAGAAGCATGTTGGAGGTCAATATCCCAGACATCAGCGTTGGCAGGGACGATGTCAGCGGTGCTGTCGGCCTCGATGGGGTGGTGCAGAATGATCTGAAAAGTGACGCCGGGCTTCCATTTGCTCCAATCCACCGCCCGACGAGCCAGGCTTGCATGTTGCTGCGAAGGAGTTGCGAGGCTGAGGACGCTGGCTGGGGCTAGAGCCAAGAGGGCGAGTCTTGGAACGACCATCTTGACGACGTTTTTGCAGAAGCTGGTTTGCAAGGAACGCACGAGGATGGCGCGGAAGGGCGAAGCCTACTTCATATATCATTTGCAACCATGCTTTTGCAGGGTTGCTCTCGCTACCTAGGCAGAAGTGTGGTGTGAAGTCGAGGTTCGAAATAAGAGACACCGGAGGAAGCTTCGAAGCTCTAGTCAGAACGCGCCACAATCCTCTGCGCTACGCTGATCCCAGTCCTTCAAGCCCTTCAATTAACGCCCAAGACAATACGAGTGCATTTGTCGACCCAAATTACAGGTTTGAGTGTAGGTTGCAGCACTGGATCCGAATTGGCAGCAACGCTCGATCTCGACGCCGTGCAAGTTAAGCAGTCCCCTCGGCATGGCGACGATGTCACTCAATCTGATGGCGAAGAAACGACCTCTGAGCCCTTTGGGATGCTCGTTTCCAACTCAACCTGCTGGGAAATTGCCCAGACTCGTTTCCCGTGTGTTCAGTTCAATATTTCTGCAGGGTCATCATCGCATGATGGCCGGGATTAGGCTTAAGAAGCTTGTCAAGACCGGGAGCGTGATTGGGCAATTCGTCGAATTTTATGTCCAGATCTAGCTCAAGTTGGGGCCGCGACCGAGCCTGACCTTCGACCAAGTCTCCGCGGTGGATGCGGTTCCAGGCAGCCGAATAAACGTCGAATAAGACGCAGTTATCAGCACGTTACACCGCAAAAGTGCTACTATCCCTTGCATCTGCCGTGCCAGTTGCAGGAACTTGTGTTATTCAGAATGCAACGTCGCGGGAGCCAGGCCGCTCTACCACATGATAATTGACGTTTCTACGCGGCCTCACCAGTTGAAATCAGTCTCGATCGACCGTATCGATTCAGTGTAGGCAAACGCCGAATATTCGTACACGATGGATTTCTGTCTAACAAACAAATGCTATCGGTATCACCCAGACTCCGCTAACGCCGCCTTGAGTTTCTTGGTGCTCGTATAGTCCCTAATATAACCTCGTGATGGACTTTTAGAATTCCATGGCCGACCCAACAGCCTCTTCGCGTGCTTTTCTGATGCTGTCGTTCTCTGCTTCCCTCTCTTCCTTCAGCTTCTCTTCAACATCTTCTCTTAGGCCACCCAAGTCTGGCGGAATCGCCTGGTACTGCACACTCGGAGCTGCCTGGACGAATCTCAACTGTTCCGTCACATGTTGCACGAGATCATTGAGCCGCTTCTGAGGATTCCTATTCGCGCGCGGTTCACCCAATATCTGTTCCAGCGTCGGGAATAGCTCCTCGTATCTGAATTGTTCTCTCCAGGGAGCGTGCATCGGGATGATGGGATCGATTTTGTCCTGGCAGTCGATGGCGATGCTCGTCTCGAAAGCCCACGCGCGGGCGACGTTTCGAGGCGTGTACCCGCCGCCGCCGAAGAGAATCATAGGCACGTTGAACTTCTTACAGAACTCGACACAGGCCCCGTGTCCCTGCACCTGGAGGTTGAACCTACCAAGCCTGTCACCGGCGAGGGAGTCGGCACCACATTGCAAAGCAATGGCGCTGGGACGGAACTTCTCCATGCATTGGCCGATGACGTTTTCGAAGAGCCATTTGTACTGCTCATCTGTGATTCCGTCGTTGAGGGGAACGTTAATGGCGTGGTGGGCTCCTGGATTGTGTTCGTTCTTAGGGCCATTGTCGTCCAAACCGCCGGTGCCGGGAAAGAAGTTTAGAGGGTCGTATTTATGAAACGACACCGTCATGACGCGGTCGGTAGAGTAGAAAGCCTCCTCGACGCCGTCTCCGTGATGAACGTCAATGTCGATGTAGAGGACGCGAGGATAACACCGCAGCAACTGCAAAATGGCAAGGACGATGTCGTTGATGTAGCAGAAACCGGATGCTTCAGCCTTCTTGGCGTGATGAAGGCCCCCTCCCCAAGAGACAGCGATGTCTGATTGCTTTGAGCAGATTTTCCGTGCAGCGTCGAGTGAACCACCTGCTGACATGGAACAGTAGTCGTAGAGGCCCTCGAAAAGGGGACAGTCGGAGCCACCCAGATTAAACTTAAGATCCGGGTTGGCATTCTCGACGTCCCGCGGGACGGGCTCAGGGAGGACTGTGCCCAGAAAGTCCAGGTAGTCATCGGAGTGAAAGGCGTTCAACTCTTCGTAAGTGGCGGTTCGGGCGATGTAGTTGTCCATGGCGAAGGACATGCCGTAGGATGAGATGAGACTCTTGGATAGAGTGAGGCGCCATGGTTTCATAGGATGGGTCTGGCCGAAGTGGTGCTTCTCCATCTCGGGATTGCAATGAAATGAGACGGTGTAGCCTTTGGGGCGAGTGATGCCCGATTCCAGCGCAGTGCGCTTGATCTTGTTGTAGTACTTGGCCTCATCAAGCTCGCTGGCTTTACCCAGAGGTGTGTACTCCTCGACAATGTCATCTTTGTCGGCCCTGTGGGGAAGATAATTAGGCTTCGGTACACGAAATCTGTAGCCCTTTGCGTTCGTGGTGATATCCATGATGAAAGCGACGGATTTCCCGCCAGGGTGGCCGAAGTAGGGCCCAGGCGCTGACCAGGATGGTTCGCGAAGTTCGAGGATGAGGGTTGAGAATGGCTACGAATAAGCTTTGCGAATGTCAGATGACAGATCGACCGATGAATTCTGAATAAAGCGGGTTCTTCGGAGTCGCAAATCGTCGAGATGTGTGGTACTTGCCGAGGCCGCACCGGCGATACACGCCGCCGTCTGTTGTTGGTTGGTTGGTGATGTATATGGATGAGTGTATTAGGTGAAAGGCTGAGTTGAAAATGCAATTGGATCAGATGTGACCGGCCGCACGCCCGAAGTCGAGTTGCGGGAGGTCGCGACTTCAGTGGCTAGTGTGCATGGCGGGGGGCCACATGTCCCAAGTCCCAAAGAGGTTAGTGCCACTCTGCTTTAGCCTCAGTGTGGCTGGGTTTGGAGGTTTCTGGTTCATTCCGGAATCCAGATCAAGCTTTGAAGAATGCTGGATGGTCTTCCCTTGTTGGACCATGCTACCTAGTCCAGTGACGATGCGATTCCCGATTGCGCAAGATACAGCTATTTTATTGGGTTGAACGTTGACGCGGAATGCTCAAATCAATACACAGTGGTGACGAGGCCCATATTCAGGTTACCTTATCCGTACGACTACCTAACCATTCGCGACACCATGCGGACCTGAGGTACAAATACCTATCCCATCGACTCCGGATTTCTATTGGGTGGATACACAGTGTAACGGAGTCAGAATGGGTTCCGCTTTAAAAACATGCGACGCCCAATCATCAGGCAGGGCAGTGTTCCCGTCCGAGCTGGGGCCCAACGATGGACTGAAAGTCGGAGGCTAAAACTCCCGTCTCCGCCTGTCTCGTCTCAGCTCACTGGCCCAGGGCATTTGGGGGTCAGGAATTCGCAAACTTGCCCGCCGCCAACCTAACCCAACGCGACACGCACCAGCCGATTTTCCTTCAACTGCCCACCGCAAACTGGGCCGCCAACGTGATTCCAGCCTCTTCCAACCCCACCCTCGCGCGTCCGGCAGGAAGAAAAAAAAAATCACGTCGTTTTCCAAAGCAGGGACTCGAGTTGTTATTTAATAAAAAACATTCCGGGATTGCAACCAGGGCCCGACCGTCGTCGCGACTCGCCTCGCCTCGCCTTGCCTTGCCTTGCCTTGCATATCTGGTCTGGAGCTCTCGTCGACTTGCAGCCTGACTCTGACTTCAGAGTCTTGAGTCTGCCCGTCGGTTCAATCTCAACCAGGTGAGCCAAGCTAGTCACTAAGCACTTTGTTCGTTGCGGAGGATCGTGGCCGCCGAGGTTTTCTCTGGCATCCCCCTTCCGGTGTATTCGTACATCAGCAAGTGCAGCCAAGGCAGATCATCATCGTCCTCTACTTAGGTGTGGTTCCTGGGTCGTGGTTCGTCGTCTTCGGCCGAGGCCTGGACTCGACACAACCCACCTGGCGGTGCCTGCTCCGCTCCGCGCCGCTCCGTCATACTGCGTGCCACTATTCCCACCTGCCTGCATCTGCTATCGGCTTGTTGCTCTACTCCACACTCGTTCTGCTTTGCTCCTGCTTCACCTTCACCCTACTCTGCTCTATCTCATCTTGCCCCTTCATTACTTGATGACCTCGGGTCACCACACCTCCCTCACGCTATTCTCCTCCAAGTCGCCGTGATTTGCAACCGCCTTGGTCGCACATCAGCATACCCGCAAAGCCACAACCCGTCCCTCCCCCTCTGCGCCTCTTGCTTGAGCACCTCGTCGCCGTCTGCCTCGTCGCTCTGTTGCCTACACCGAAACTCGCATACTTGGGACGCGTCATTGACTCAAGATGCCTAGAGACGATTTGTCCATCGACTTCGTCAAGAGGATGCCGCAGGCCGAGGCCCTTGACCCGGCCATCATCCTCGACGACTGGATCAACCGCGTCCAGAACCTCCCCGAGGAGATTCGCTTCCTGCAAGAGGAGATCACCGACAAAGATCGCCAGTACTACGACTGCGTAAAGCTGATCGAGGACCGCGATGGCAAGATACAAAAATGGATCAAGGCTAACGGTAGCCACGAGACGAATCCTCGGGAGGAGGGAATGAGGGCACAGATGCGCGAGAACTACATGCGCGCTGACCAGCTGGCTACCGAGAAGATCGCTTTAACACAAAAGCTGCAGCTCATCATGGACAAACACCTGCGAAACCTCGACCAGCACATCAAGTTGCTCTACGACCGAGCCGAACCGGGCTTCAACGACCCCGACGAATGCCCATCGCTTCTGAGGCCGAGCGCGGCAAACCACTCCGCCCCGTCCGCCAGGTCGATCAACCCTGCGAGCCATTTGGCCGGCGCCATCACTGCGACCCCTCTGAATCCGATCGTCAACTCAGCGAGTCCTACTGCGGCGAGAGCCGGCAATCCCCAGATACGGAACACGTTGTCGCAGCAGCATGCTTCATCCGCACCCGCGACGCCGGCTGCAGCCAGCATGATAATGAATCGTCAGGCAAGGGAAAGCTCAGCAGGACCTGGCAGCGGCGCACCTAAGAGGGGACCGCGGTCGAATTCTGGACTGGGCAGCTTGCCCGCAACATCAAGCGGACTGGCGAGACACTCATCACTGGGTCCGGGTACACCCAAAGGCGCTACGGTCACGGGTCCTGGCGGTCCTGTGCGAGCTGGCAGCGCCGGGCCCAGGTCATCGTCCACGAAGGCTGTCAGCGTGTCGGGCATCAGGAAAGGAACACCCGGCGCGACAAATCGGAAGAAGGGAAGCATTGCCAACGGGCATAAATCCTCCCTGTCCCGTGTGAAGAAGGCAGGAAGCCGCAACTCTCCGGCATCCACAGCGGATAGTGAGCTGTCGGATGCCGAAAGCGGCAGCGGCGACGATGGCGACCGCAGTCGGGTTGACCGGACCAGTGGAACACCTGCACGGGACGGTAAAGACGGGGACGGGGACGATAGCATGCTCGACGCCGAAGATGACGAGGCCGGCGACGACAAGAAGTACTGCACATGTCAAAATGTGAGCTTTGGCGACATGGTGGCGTGCGACAATGAGGATTGCCCCTACGAGTGGTTTCATTGGTCGTGCGTTGGCCTCAAGAGCGAGCCCAATGGGACATGGTTCTGTCCAGTATGTACGGAAAACATGGAGAAGGAAAGGCTACAGAAGAAGAAATGAGAGCGATAACCACGAGGCTCCCGGTCGGAGCGTGATTATACCCCACGGAAGCCGAATATTCGGTGCCGACTACGTAGCGGCACCGCGTTGTTGCGATGCCCAATGGAGTAACAGGGCCAGTCGGCAACAAGGAATCGGCGTTGGGGCATGAGAACATGGTTATGGACGATCTGGCCTTCAAAGAGAATTTTGATATCAAATACCCCATTCACCTCGAACAAGCCGACGCACAGTGATGTTGTCTCTCGAACCTATGATTCGCCCCCAACAATGGAAGCTTTGAAGAACCCGTGGAAGCATTCTCCAGTACCCAGGGACTCTAGCCCGTCCACCAGGACGATCCCTCGGATGGTGGTGTGTGCATAAGCTCAAAGCACGGCTGGGCCTGCCCCCACGTGGGACGCATGAGAGAGCCTCATTTGATGGTGGTCTGTTCGCATTTTCCTGTCTACATGTACGAATGATTACAGTTACGGACTGTCTTGCACTATTTCGGGTCGATGACATTTCGCCAATTCTGTTTCGTTTCCGCGATCCCCTGCACCAAAGACCCAGGACGACCTGAAGCAGATTGCGAGGTCCCTGCTTTTGGGAAAACAGAAGTCGAGGCCTTTCGGGCAGACCAGGCGAGAATGCCATTATTGACAATGGCGTCAGGGTGCAAATTGCACTACGGAACATTTTGGGACGAAGGCTGCAGGGATTTAGTCGGTGGTGGCAGCAGCAAAGGCTAAGGGGTCGGCTTGGACGGGCGGCGCTGGACTTGGCTTCCGGGGCTTAAGGGGAGCTGGAATCAAAGTCGGGACGGGACATTCAGGCCGGGTGATGGCCGGCGCTGACCGATGCAATTCTGGTTGATCGCCGTCGCTGCAAAGAGCATTCGTATGCGTAGATTGAGGTTCTCATTCTTCCCCTACTGTATTCGTACCACGCACCCAACGCCGGTTTCCCCAAAGCTACTCACCGTGTAACAATATGTAATCAAACTCCCGACCAAACTGGATGGATTTCGACGACCACGGGGGACCCTCCCATGATCCATCTCTCCTGATTGCAGGCTGGGATTGACTAAAAAGGAGTCCAAGTGGGAAGTGGCCCGCCTGGGGCGCAGATGCCGGCATTCAGGGGGCGGCGGTTCACAGCGCAACGTAAGATACAAGAAACCTGTTACGTCCATCGGGGATCGCGAGGAGCGAAGATTCGGGAAACATTCCGAAGAGGCCCGGTGGGATCTGGGCAAGAGACGGAACTGCCATTGGTGAGTACGCCGATTTCAACTACGATGGTTACAGGTAGTTTCTCGCAATGGGGGGAAGAAGCAGTCAAATAATTAGCCGCTGGTTGTAGAGGTGTTGACCCGATCAATTCAGCGATATCGGGAAGTTCAGGGTGGTGGCAAGTATTTGATGAGCGATGGACGTGTAGTTGTAGGCGTTTCCGGCCGACGGGCGGCCAGCGCAGCCAACTTGGACCTGATTCGGAGGCGTAAGGATGGACAGACGTCGGCGAGAAGAGGCGGATGTCGGACCGCGCGAGCCCGCCCCTTGAGGTGGCGGAGATGGTGTTTTCCAACAGCTTGTGTGAAATGGAGCTGCATTCCAAGTCCCAATGTACCAAAGATCAACTGTCGATGCGGTGTAGAAAATCGAAGTTATTGCTATTCTCACTTGGTTTGTAGGAGATGGGAATGCCAGCTGCGCCGAGGGCACCTTGAAGCTTGTCGACAGGTCATCTCACAGCTGGCGGGGATGTTGGCCCGTTGGGTGGTGGGGATGCTGGTTGTGATATTTCAGGATGCCAATCATGAATAGCGTAGCGGAGAGACAATGTGGCGAGAAGACTGCTCGGCTCCGCAGAGGATGGAGACTGGCACCTTTTTTAGTGCGCGGATTGGCAGGGGAGCTACTGGTTCGGACGGCTCACCCGTAATGCGTCGGTCGTACGTAGTGTAGTGGAAGAAAGATGGATGTTGTTGGTTTCCGGAGACGTGGACAGAAGAAGCCGTGTGGTAGTAGTAGTAGATGGCTGGCATTCGAGTGTCTTGTGTACTTTGATTTTGATTTTGTTGATGTGAGATATTATATGTATTCGTACCTAAGGATACCTTATACACCTCATGGATATGGAGCGAGGTCGTTCTGCGGTCCAAGTTGAGTTTGGTGACACTTTTGACGTGCGGCAGATTCCCGCATCCTTCAGGATCTGCGTCTAGGCAAGTGGTGGTTTGATACCAGACCAGATGCATCTGCTGCATCTATCTGTGTCTGCATCTGAAGAGATGAACAAAAATGTTTGCCGGCTCTTTTCGCCTTGGTCTTTTCGTCTCGTCAAGCCGCCGCCTCCCTCGATTGGGCGTCGCTAGTTTGGAGCGCCACAGGGGTTCCGAGAAGGCGGTGGCCAGGCCCGGTCCAGCTTGGTGGAGGGTTGCAGCAGAATGGACTGGAATGGCTCGAGGCAGCACGTCGGGTACCTTTTATTAGTCTCAGGTACAGGTATCGTAAAGTAGGTATTTTCTCCGAACCTTGAACTGGAGACGGTGAATACGAAGAGTCGGTAAAAGTGGTGATGGTGCTGGAGTGAAGTAAAATGTGTGCTCGTACCGATGTATAGGCGTGAATAATAGCAAAGTATTCGTACCTTACCTACTTACCTGTCTGTACCTATCCGAGCATGAGGCAGTTCAGGTCCAGGTCCAGGTCCAGGGGATTAAGAACCACATAAGCTTCCAATCCATGGACGTCGAGATGCGAAGCAAGGAACCCAAGGTAGGTAGGTACCTTACGGTGAGTGTCCCCCCCTCCTCTAACATGGCGGCCCCTCCCCCCTCCAAGGTAGGTAGGTAAGTGGTAAGGTACCGTACGGATAGCGACCCCATCTTCGTGTGTCGACGGGACACTGGAGTGAGTGTCTCCCCTCCGGGGGAACGAGATAAAATGAAAATTGGCAAATGCGAACTGGGTTCCCACAGTGATATCACCGCTATAAAGGGAAATCCCCGTCCACCTCGCCAGCCTTCTGTTCTCAGAGGTCTCTCCTGTTTTTCCTTCTCTGCATCCAATTCTCACCACCAACACTCGCTCATTGTTTCTTGTCGTTGCCGTTGCTTGTTGCTGCCGCTGCTTCTGCTGTAAGTCCAACAATACTCTCGCTCACCCACCACCATACCGCACACCATGCCTATCCGTGGACGTCCGCCTCCAGTCAGGTCGGGTTACCTTTGCTGTCACTGCCGCCGTCACCGCTGATCTTCGGATCGTCTGGTCCAACCACGAGGCAAAGCTTCTCGTCCCCTTCGTCCCAAGAAAAAAAAAAAAGCACCTCAGTTCGCCTCCCTCCGCCGCCATTTCACTCCCCCCGCCCTCTCCAAAACTGCCCAACTATCCATCCACGCTACCTACAGCCAGCTACCCAGCTACCCAGCTACCTACCGGCCTCCTTTTCCTCCTTATCATCACATGGAGAAGCTCACAAATTACGTCAGGCTACACAGATACCTTTGAGCTCCCAGCACCTTTCTTCTTCCGCCTTCCCAGCCAATTCCCTGTTGCCGTACGTTCTACCCCGCCGTCCGCGATCTCGACGCCTACTTTTTTCCCCTCCTTCCACCACCTTCTCCCCTCTACAACCTCAGGAAAATACCGGAATTTTCTACCTGAGGCCATATTTCTCATCAAATTCAGTCATTAACACGCAGTATTGCTAGACCTTCCTCACAACTCGCGACCCGCGTCAAACATCTCCCACAATGGCTCAAGCGATTAAGAGCGCTCTGCCTACTCACCTGAAGTCTCCTCTTGGAGGCCAGGGCAAGAGTGATGATGCCGAGTTCACCTCCCGCCACCACGGCAAGACGAGGTCTCACATGGTACATTTTCCTCCTTTCCAGTCTTCAATCTTCGTCCCCGGCGGAAGATGCCATCTAACGTGCAACGGCGGGTCTCTGCTTTCACCAACGGGAAGCCACGAGAGAGAAGCTGTGTCGTGCGAGAACGATTGGTCGCTGGCTTGTCTGTGTTACCTTCTCAACGTCATTCGCACTGAATCTTCCGCACCACGCCAATTGCCTGCTGTACAAGCAATGAGCTTGACTGCTTGTCTTCCAGCGTCGATTGCGACCGCGATATGGTCAGTGGGCGCGGCTTCGGACCTTGAACGGGTTCGGTCGGTTCCGCGCGAATGACGGGAAACACCTCCAGAACAGCACCGATCTTCTCTGCTCACAGCAGACCTTGGTGGCTAATCTCAGGGGAAACGACAAGCTGGCCGCAATTGCACTTCAGGCCCCGCCGCCGATCACTTGACGAGAGCTTCAAACTGCCCCACCGACAGGGGCTATCACTTGCACCAGATCTCGAGTGTAAACAGCATGCTAACGTTCCTAAGGCTTTCGAGAACACTTCCACCAGCGTTGCTGCTGCCCAGATGCGCAATGCCCTCACCAACCTTTCCGAGACGGTCACCGACCCTGAGCAGAAGAAGGTCAGTAATAAGATGCCGAACCGCAGCTCCGAGACCCACCGCTGACCCCTGCCGTAGCTCTTCGAGACCGAGATGGACAACTTCTTCGCCCTCTTCCGCCGCTACCTGAATGACAAGGCCAAGGGCAACGCTGTGTAGGTTTACAGACCGCGATTGTATAATGAACTGGGCTGACAATGGACAGCGACTGGGACCGCATTGCCCCTCCCGCCCAGGGCCAGGTTGTTGACTACGAGGACCTCGCCAACTCCGAGTCCGTCCAGTTCCTCAACAAGCTTGCCGTCCTGAAGCTCAACGGTGGTTTGGGTACCTCCATGGGTTGCGTCGGCCCCAAGTCCGTCATCGAGGTCCGTGATGGTATGTCGTTCCTCGACTTGTCTGTCCGCCAGATCGAGTACCTCAACCGCACCTACGGCGTCAACGTGCCCTTCATCCTCATGAACTCGTTCAACACCAACGACGACACTGCTTCCATCATCAAGAAGTTTGAGGGCCACAACGTCGACATCCTTACCTTCAACCAATCAAGATACCCCAGAATCCTCAAGGACTCTCTCCTGCCCGTCCCCAAGAAGTACGACTCCGCCATCAGCGACTGGTACCCCCCTGGTCACGGTGACGTTTTCGAGTCCCTCTACAACTCCGGCATTCTCGACAAGCTCATTGAGCGCGGAATCGAGATCGTCTTCCTTTCCAACGTCGACAACCTGGGTGCCGTCGTTGATCTCCGCATCCTCCAGCACATGGTGGAGACTGAGGCCGAGTACATCATGGAGTTGACCAACAAGACCAAGGCTGACGTCAAGGGTGGTACCATCATTGACTACGAGGGTTCCGTCCGTCTCCTTGAGATTGCCCAGGTCCCCAAGGAGCACGTCAACGAGTTCAAGTCCATCAAGAAGTTCAAGTACTTCAACACCAACAACATTTGGCTGAACCTGAAGGCCATCAAGCGCGTCGTCGAGAACGACGAGCTCGAGATGGAGATCATTCCCAACGGAAAGACCATCCCTGGCGACAAGAAGGGCGAGTCTGACATCTCCATTATCCAGCTGGAGACTGCTGTTGGTGCCGCTATTCGTCACTTCAAGAACGCACACGGTGTCAACGTTCCCCGTCGCCGCTTCTTGCCCGTCAAGACCTGCTCTGACCTGATGCTCGTCAAGTCTGATCTGTACACCGTCAAGCACGGCCAGCTCCAAATGAGCTCCAGCCGCTTTGGCGATGCTCCCCTCATCAAGCTTGGCAGCGACTTCAAGAAGGTCTCTGACTTCGCCAAGCACATCCCCTCCATCCCCAAGATCATTGAGCTTGACCACCTGACCATCACTGGTGCCGTCAACCTCGGCCGCGGCGTGACGCTCAAGGGCACTGTCATCATCGTCGCAACAGAGGGCAGCACCATTGACATCCCCCCTGGATCCATCCTCGAGAACGTGGTTGTCCAGGGTAGCTTGCGCCTGCTTGAGCACTAAGGGGCTCGTGTGGGTTTGTATTTTGAGCATTTCAAAGCAGATGTCACGATGCTCTGCAGCATCTTGGATGATGACAGTCTGAAAGCGCAATGGGATAATAGAAATAAAAACATTCCCCAAACGGCGGCACCTGCATGCCTGCGGCAATAGCAGTATGAACTTGATAGCATTTTAATAGGCAGCACTGCGTGTTTGTGCTTTTCATGAACCTTTCTTTTGCGCCATGCCCATGTGATTATGCTTTGTGATGACAACCGGTGTGCAGCCACCCGGATTGCAAGCAATCATCTCCGGGTGGAGGCACCTGGTCTGCAGTCCATATCAATCAGCTCCGAGTAGCGGTGAGACGGGAAAAGAAACGACTCGGGCGCGCGACTGCATAGCGGTCCCTGGTCCGGCCCTGGGTTTGCTGCATGAATTCGTAGCTGCCGGTTTCCGCGTAGTATTTACAATATTATGCGCCGTTGCGATATGAAGAACTACCTGGTCTAGAGATTTTTTTTCCCACTCGGGTTCGCCGACGGATAAACTTGTTGATATATTAAGCCTTTGACATACCATCGGGAAATAGCAACCCAGGTCCACCTTCTAAGGCTGAGACCTTCATTCGGTCTCTCTCTCTCTCTTTCTTTGACAGCCGTGGATCACCCTGTCACGAAGCAGGCCAATCCCCTTTCTTCCCTCTCATCCCCTCAACATCATCAAAGACCAAACTACATACTACCCTTCACCTTGTCAACTCCACTCCCTGACTGCAGCATTAGCTCGACCTGCTTGTTACGTGGGAACCTCACGGCGAGCCGAATAATTAGAGAGGGAGAAAAAAAAAACATGGGCAGTCTCTACAAGTCGCCGGCCTTGCCGTACTGGCAGGTCAACGTCCCGTCGGAGCACCGGACCGACGAGTGCCCGGAGGGCCTCCGCAACCTCTCCGCCAAGGACGTCGGCATCCTCAGCACGCCGGACGCCGAATACCGCCCGCAGACGTGGGGCATCGTCCGCCGATTCGTCGACACGAACCGCCTCGACCTTTTCCAACGCGTGCCCTCGGAGCTGCGGCGGTACCGCCTGTTCATCCACCACTTGATAAAGGAGCACGGCAGCGTCATGAACTTTGTGCTACGGCACCGCCTGGGCTGGGAGGAGCCTTTGGTGGCCAAGGGCACGCCGTTCCAGTTTGAAGAGGATCTGAAGATTTTGGTCAACGACTGGCCGTACGGGATCGATCAGCGGATCGTGCATCTTGTTGTCTGGACCAAGTTTGAGCTGGAGGAGGATTTGGCTACGGGGGATTTGACGGAAAAGGCAAGGGGGGAGATCGAGGAGTACGTTGACAAGACGTTCCGGGCGAGGACGAAGCCTGATTCGGTGAGTCGGTTCTCGTGTTGCAAATCTGCAAGTGGAAAGTTATTGACGCGTCGTAGGTCATCTGGTTCAAGAACTGGAGGAGTCTCAAATCCGTCCACGCCGTCGAGCATTTTCACGTCATGCTCTTCGACCCTGATGCCGACTTCATTCGGGACATCACCAATGGTGACGTTCCGCAGTGCGAGAAGTTTCAGGCGTGGTGCTAGGCCAAGCACTGGGATGTTGATGAGACGGAGAAGATGACGCGCACTGATGCGAGTAAACGGCATCGCAGTCACTTTCACCAGGATTTCTTTTCTTTTTCTTTTTCTTTTTTTTGGCGCAGTATGAGAACGAGGTTGGGATACTTCTGGTTCACTGCGGGATGTCGCGAGGGACCTCCCTGTACTCTACTCGCGACGCCGCAGCCATCGTGATGGCCGTCGGCTTCTCCATGGCGACCTTGATCACCCAGTCTGAGGACCCCGCGGCATCGACTGCGACGTCCCCGATGTCCCGCCTGATGCCGCTCGTGATGGCGGGGCCGAGAGCTTCCAGGGTCTCAAAGGCAGAATTTCCTAGAGTCTATATTTTGTACGATTGTCAGGTTTCACGCAGTAGATAGGGATACACAAAATACTGGGGGTTGGAGAAGAAGGGAGACATCAAAATAGACTGACCTTAACCACAATAGACTCGATGTCGATGTAGACGTCATCGCCGTGTCCGAATTTTTCAATCTCCACGTCCGCCACGACCACCTGCTTCGCCAGTCTCTCATTGTCGTTGACGCCGATGAGAGTCGGGACGCGCAGCTCGTGGAGGCGGAGACATGAACTCCACGCAACGATCGGTGAAAGTTCCCCCGTCGAACTGAAGACGGCAGACGTCGATAGACTAACGGCGCTCCCGAGAAGCGATGCCTTGGGGAGCGTGACGATCAGGCTCATGTACCGGACCGTCGAGATCCTGTTTCTCAAGAACCCAGCAGCTCCCCTTTCCTGGCCAAACAGCTGGCCGTAGGGGTGAAACCCGGTCACATCGGCCCAGATCTGGTCCACGGCTTCCATGAGACCGATGTGAGAGGTAGACTGGGACTTCTTCTTGTTGTTGATGCCATCCAGACTGGAGAGGATGGCCTTGGCGAGCAGGCCGTAGTGCACCGTGTCGTCGGTGACGCGATCTGTCGAGGACGCAGCGTCGAACGGGCGCGCCATCGAAAGCTCGGCTGAGATGAGGACGGGCTGCGTCTTGTTCTTGCGGCCCCAAGCATCGGTGCCGGCTTGGATCGTTCCTTGCAGGTCGCGGACGCGAATCACGGCAAAGGGCTCACCGGCCTCGGCGCGCACTTGCCATGAGGAGACGAGACGTTGTGCCATGTCTAGATCTGAAGACTTTGATCCCTGGGCAATCAGCAGTCGTTTACCGTGGTTCGGCGAGCACGAAAGCTTGGGCGATGGGTCGTCGATGCGGTAGGTTTAGAGGGAGTCATTCGGTGTTTGCCAGATATATTTTACTACACGCACTGGGTACGTAGCCCTCTGGGAAGGTCCCACTCTAAGTCAACACCTTGGACTTTGCCAGGAAATCTGGACATAAATTCTATCCGTAACTACAGCGTTTGTTAAGATATTTGCGAAATGCGTGCTACCTGTATTTCGTGTTCTTATGGCTAAGGCATATTTCAGACATTGTACTGGATTGTGCATTGAATTTTTCCCGTCCCGCAAAAACAAACACTATTTGTATTTTGAAAAGCACCGCAACACCACGCATGCCATGCGATGCGATTAAAAAAAAGCCTTAATGACAGACAAACAAGATGTGCCGCACAGACTGGTCCTATGCATCATCAGTTGTACCCAGCAGCTGCCTCAGCCTCCTGCTCCAGCATCTTGCGCTTCAAGCCCCTGGCCTTCATAGTCACATACCCGACCAGCATGATACCAACGGCAAAGCCGGCCGAGAGCAACATCACATTGACCGGAATTGGGTCACCTTCGAATGTCTCATGAAATAGGACATCAAGCCCGGACTGGAAAAAGTTGAACAGCCCAGAGAGGCAGATGATTGTACCGTAGACCGTGCCGAACGTCTCGAACCCAAAGACCTTGGCAGTGTAATCGGACACCGCAGTGTAGTAGAACGGCCGATAGAGCACGAATAGACAGACTTGAACATAAGCTGCCCACACGTTGTTAATGACCCCGAGTATGCCGATGGTTGTAGCAGTGGCCACGAGAGCGGTCAGGACGGTAACGGTGCTGGCATGGTCGAGAAGTACGCCGATGAATGGAATAGACAAGATACCCCCCACAGGCAGAGCGACATCGAAGAAGTTGTTGATCTCGACGGCCTTGTCGTGGTCCCCGAAAATGACCTCGTACTGGGAGCGAATGGTAGCGACGAAGTAGTTGATGCGGAGCATCTGGATGACTGTGAACAAACAGATGAGAATGAACCATGGCGATGCGATTTGCCTCAGGGCCGTCCGGTTGTGCATCACACCCCAGACTCCCGATGTCTCATTCTTTCTCTCCTCCTTGCGGATCTGCTTATCCGCCTTTTGGGGGCCGAGAAGTTGCTCAATGTCTGCCACAACGGCCTCGCGGTGATGACGCTGCTCTTCGCGGAGCAAAGCCGTGTTCTCGTCGACCTGGTCGTCGTACGGTGTGGCATCGGCGTCATTGGCTGCTTCAGCCTCCTCTTGCTGCTCCACGAGCTCGCCCACCGTCTTGTATGACTGCTTAGGCATGAGCGTTAACTGGAATACGATAATCATGACCGGCACGATGATGTAGACCATGAAAAACTTGTCGTGGCCAAACGATCCATCTGTAGCCTGGAAAATCAAGCGGTAGATAAGGAACAAGGCGCTTGAGGCATCGAAAGCTCCAGTCAGCAGGGCAAGGATGAGGCCAGAGTGCTGAGGGAAAGCATTCGACAGCTGAAAAGATGATATATACGTGAATGGTCCGCCCAGAGCAAGCGACAGATATCCGATGAGGAAAGCATCGAACGGTAACCGCTTGGCGTTTGCCATCAAGACAGAGCCGACCATCAGAAATAAGCTCCCCAGAATGCCGCAGACTCGTGGCCCGAAGTGGTCGAGAATTGCACCGACTGGCAACGCAGCAACGTTGGTTCCTACAGCAGCCACCGTAAACATCAAGTTGAGGCGGATTTCCACACAAGCGTCGTCCGGCGTCGAGTTGGGTGATTCTGCTCTGCAGACGTCGCTGTAAGCGCCTTCACGCTTGAGGACCGGCTTGAGAGCGGCAAAGCCGAAAGCAATGCCGGCCGCGAATAGACAGTAAATCACTGAGACTGCGACTTGGACTGTACAGGTTCGTTAGCGAATGGACGGGCCAGGACCTAGTGTGACATGTTGTGGCTAGGTGCGAGTCGTGAGTGAGGATAGAAAGATACTCACGAATTCTCTTCCATCGCGGGACCTCGAATGCGCCAACAGCAAGAACGGTATCGGGCTTATTTGCTGCAGGATCCCATTGATCCGGCAAAGGGTTGAAGGTCAATTTCCCAGCCCGTACGCTCGATGCATCACTGCGTCGCCTAGAATTCTGCCCTTGGGGTATGAACTGGAAGGTTTCAACCGATGCGACCCGGTTCAACGACATGATGACGAGGATTCGTACGACGAGGCCTGGCGGCTCTCTTGCGACGACCTTCTTGAGAACGGGGTTGTCGCAGGAGTCGAGCCAACGACTGGCCAGCTATCACGATGATGGCACTGAGTCGCCAACGTCAACAAAGCGCTCTGCTTCGTCTGGCCGGTCGGTCAAGGATGTGATGTAAAACTGGCGCGGGCGATGTCGAGATAAAGATTGTTACTGGTAGACGGGCGGAAGCTAGGTAAGCTAAGATTCTTCAACGTAGCTGTACCTATCCCTGCTCGGGCGTAAACCGCAAAGGAGAGTTCAACCTGGGAAAGCGAGGAGTAGCGAGAATTCCGCCGTTGTTGAAGTTTGAGAAAAGAAATTGTGAGGCAAGCGAAATGTCTATAGAGGAAATAGGCAGGTTGTCGAATCTCAGAACCTCGGCGCAAGGCGTGAGAGAAAACTTTCTTTGGGAACGAAAGCAATCAGGTGGCGATGAAGAACCTTGAGCTTCGAGAGCGTGGGGGCCAAGAGGAAAATGATAGTCTTGCTACCTAGCGGCTGCTGCAATGCGGTGCAATGCAACGCAGGTTGAATTCTGACCGGCTGAAAAAATTGGGTAAAAGAAAAACCAGGCGAAGATGAAAGGTAAAGCTGGGATATTAAATCACCAACAGAGCGACGTAGGCTGGACCACCACCCAAGGCGTCATTGGCGAATCCAGCATCTTCGTCTTCCTTTCCCCTCACTTACACGTCCCTGACGTGTGTTCCGCCTAAGGTAGACCTTGTCTGACACATTCTATGGTCTGTGATCAGTGGTCTGTGGCCTGGTCTGTGGAGGCTAGTCCTGTCCAGACAAGAGGCTGGGACGACGAGACAAATGCATGGATGGATGGATGGATGGATGGAGAAAGAAGTGAAGGAACAAACGGTCGTCATGTGCGTTCGGGAAAAGGGCCACATGACGACCCCCATAGCCCATACGTTAGGTAGCCAAACCGCGTGGGCCCGGCCGGCTCGGGGGTGGCTTCGCTTGAGGCGTAACAGAGTAGGAGATTTGGAGATGGATTGTCTTACTTACCTACCGTAGGTAGGTAGTTGTGGGGGGAAAAAAAAGGCAAACTTAGGGCGACGTCGGAACGTCATTATTTGGCAATTGGAACGAGACCACACAGTTTCTTGATACTTATGAGAATCTGTAGGGGGGGGGGGGGGGGCTATACTTGAATATGAACTCCTTGTTCCGGAGCCCAATTTACTGTCCACCGAACTTGAGCAGCTGCATCGGTCCTTCTAGCGGATGGCCGGGGGAGAAAACCCTCAGCTGCGAAGTAGTGGAGGTTCGGCGGAAGCAGTTCAACGGCGGTGCCGGTGTGGGCGGGACCGGGAATGGCTAAGGTGCCTACGGGCATCTCCACAGCGTTCATCTTCCCCACTAAGGTAGGCGCACAGTCAGTGGCTCTTATTGCATTCAGCCCATTGGCTCCCGCCTGACTTCACCCGCTTCCACCAAAATGACAAAGACCAGAAAAACGGCGCAAACCATCTCCAGACGTCAATTCTCGCCAAACAACCTCCGCATCACGTTGGACCGCTTGGGGGTCGCTTGGTGAACAACTTTTACATAATGACATCAAGTCAAAAGACACCCTCAGACGCCGTGTTGCGTGCGATTCTCATCGTCCTTGAACAGGCCGCATTCAATGCTTGTGTAGGTAGCTTATAGCTGTGGAGGGACACCTCATCTTGTCCGGAGACACCTAAGGATTGGGAACACAGAAAGCATGACAAACTCATGCTTCTCTAGTTTATAGCCCTTCTTTTCAGTGCGGACCAGTGAGCTCACGTCTTCCGTCGCTCTAGGCCCCGTCTGGGCAGCGTGTCAGCAGACATACAAGTACGGGTAGTCCGGCGCCCGATCAACGTCGGGGATTGCCGCCACGACCGACAGGCGACGTCCGGCCTAAACCTCCGACTTATCGGCCTCAACCTGGACATCTGCCCGTACGCAGCGCAGTGCGTCCTGGTCTTTCTAATCGTTTGTGGACGTCAAGGTAGGTCGATCGTGAGCAATGAATTAAAAACTAACGTTGCGTCGGAATACACGAAGCGGCTAAAAGGGTCCCCTCAACGCCCGCAGGTTGTACTCATCCATCATGAGACTGCCCGCGAAAAAAGGATGCAAGCATGGCAGGGCAAACAGCGACAGACAAAAGAAACGATGCGTCAAGGTGGTAATGCGCCGGCGAGGGCTACCGTTCTGTCCTTCCCCAATCTTCCGTCCATTCTTATGCAAACTACCCGAGTCGAGTATCCATCATCATATTCAGCATTGAATTCTTTCCAGCAAGGTCGAACCCTCCTCCTCTGCGCAAAGGTATGCCTCTTCAAGCAGTCGTCGCAGGAACGTATTCCGTTGGCTTGGGCCGAGTCGCTGGTAGAAAGGAGATGACCGTCCGCGTCGCTCAGAGGGTACACGGGGTGGTTCCATTTGCGCCTCCGGGCCGGGAGACCCGTGGCTGTTGACCTCGCCTCCCATCACTCCAACTTTTTCCTCTCCAAAACCGCCTCCGCGGCATGAATATTATGCACAATCAATTTAAAAAAAAGGCCATCTAGATCGTATGCGGAAATCAAGGCTTCAATCAATCCGCCGATTGCGGTCGTGTCGTGGCGATCCGTCGATATCCTTTGAGGTATTCACGAGAAACAAAATGCCCAAAATCCTCGCCAAGTAAACTCTGGTCGGGGTGTACTCCTTAGTCCTGGTAGAAGCGGATGATGGCAGTCCCGCTGGAAAAGGCTGTCTATCGATTTGTTAGTACTTTCATCGCGCATCGACCTGCTCACAGTTCAACTTACAGTACAGCCGGTAGCCGAGTTGCCGGAGTAGACACCGTTGATAAGTGAGCACTTGCTGTTGCCACCAGTGATTTCAATGTTGAAGTTCAGCTTGGCTGTCGAGGTGGGGGCGTTGTTGAAGATGGAGAGGTACGTGTTGCCGTCGGAGCTCTTGCCGACACCAATGTTGACAGGGGCCCAGTTGCCAGCGCTCAGGGGGTTGGTGGCGCTCGTCCAGACACAGGCATCCTCGACGGGGACGCCCGCGTTGTTGACGTAGTACTGCGCAGTGGTAGGGTTGTTGTCCCAGACGTAGTAGTCAGAAGAAGCGGGGTTGCACAGCTCCAGCTTCTGGCCAGGCTCGGGAACAGTAGCAATGACCATGTTCTCGAGACCCGGGTAGTCGGTTCGGCAAACAGCGGCAGACTTGGGGAGGTCGTTCTGGATGAAGACGCCACCAGCGCCCTTCTCGCAAAGGGTCTTCTTAGAGGTGCGAGTAAGCTCAAGCTTGCCCTGCTTGTTGCAGTAAAGTCCACCAATGGACTGCTTGGTTGAGCCCTGGGCAGTGGGCCACTGCGTCTTCTGGTAGCCGACGGGGCAGGCGTAGGAGCAGAATGAGTTTTTGCTGCAGCCACCATCGCCAGATACTGCCGACTCGATGAAGGAAATGGCGGCGTCGCCAATGCTGTAGTTGGGGGTTCTCTGGATGCCGGTCCAACCGTTGGTACCAAGGTACTCAACGGCGACAGCACCGTAGTCGGAGGGGAACGTGGAGCAGTCGAGCTCGCCGCTGGGGAACTCGGCAGTCAAGCCCTTGGCTCCGCCGCTGGAACCTCCGCTCGAAGCCTTGGAGGTGGAAGCGGGTGGCGCCTGGCTCGATGAAGAGGGCGTCGGGGTCGGGGTCGGAGTCGGAGTAGGGGTGGGAGTGGTGGAAGTAGTCTTGGCGATCTTAGCTTCGAAGAACTGAGCATCCTTTGAGGAGGAAGGAGTCGGGGCCTTGGAGGTGGAAGCGGGAGGCAGGGGGGTCGAGGTAGGGGTGGTCTCTCCGACGACGACGAAGAGTCCGTCCTCGATGCCCTGCTTGGCCTCATCTTCGCTGATGACCTTTCCTCCAAGCTCGTAGTTGGTCACGGTAGGGCCGGCTTCGTACACGACGACGACATCGGGCTCGCGCTTCTCCACGGGGGAGGCAGCATCCTTCTTGACATGGCGATGTCGGTGGTTGTGAGGCTGGGCGACGACGCCGGCGGCAAGGGAGGCCGCGACTGCGAGCGTGACGATGGACCTCATTTTGTCAATTGTATATGTTCTGCAGGCGCATCGTGTTAGCGCATCGTCGACCTCAATGTTGAGTTGTCAGGCAGCCGTGGGCCGGGACGGGTTGGAGGGGTGAGACGGTGTCGCGCAAGAAGTGAGCCAGTCGCGCGAATCGGTTGGATGTCTCCAAAACACATTGAAGGTGTTCTGGTCATCATCGTGCTCGTCGCAACAGGTTGCCTTGGATCACACGACGCCCGGGGCGAAGGTGTGTGTGCGTGTTTTTCTCTCCCTCTCGGATTCGTTTGACGAGGAGAGTGCATCTCGTTCTGGTTCTTGACTTACCCTTTCTTTCCTCGCGAGGTATCAATGAAGCCGAGGCGAGTATTTCGATCTATTTGGCTGTCTTGTCGGTGGAATAGAAGTCGAAGCGGAACTCTGTAAGGTGATTCAAGGTAACGAATGTAGGTGAATTTTTGAAGATTCAAAAGAGTGTAATGAGAGCGAGCTCTCTTAGTTGGAGGAATCAACGCGGTGAACGAGAAGTCAGACCTCGATGAGCGGAAGAGCTAAGAAGAGGGAGAAGGAGAGGATGAAGTGGAGGAAAACAGGGTAAAGAGGCCATGTCGTGGATCCCGTGGGAAATTAGGAGACGAGTTACATAAGGTACAAGTCACCCGGACCCCCAGGCTCTATTATCAGAAGAGACGATCCGCTGCAGGTACGGACAGGGCTTGCAGGCGTGGGCGTGGGAGTTGGAGTGGGTGTGGGTGTGGTCAGGCGTGCGGCGTGCACATTGTCTGGGAGAGGAGGGGACGCCGTTGGTGTTGGCGTCGGCGTTGGCGTTGGCGTTGCGTCCAGTTGCAGTTGCGCTGGCGCGCCTCCCGGGAAGGGCAGGAAAGGGGTGAATGGCCCGAAGAAGACTACACTACTACTACCTGAGGTACATAGTAGTGTGAGGTATCCTAGGTGGTAAGGGAGGGGAGGGGGTCAATCAAATGAGTGGTTCTTGCCTCCAGTTATTTTACGTTGACATTGCTCATTGCGTGTGAGTGTGAGGGGGACCCCGGGAAGCTACTTTTCTGTTCTCCAGCAGCAGGAAGACTGGCTCTCCTGTTCTTGCGTTGTCATACCTTACCTTAAGGTATTATTCACTGTTGCGATGAGGCAGGTGGGAGAACGAACACACAGCAGGAGACTGGACACGGATACCTTAAGTTACATACAGCCTTACCACACAGAAATCGAAATTCCCATCACGTTATGCTAAGGTATCCGTACAATGGCCACGAGGCTCCCGGCCTGCTCACCTCAACTCATCAGGGGCACCTCCAGCTCCAGCTCCAGCTCCAGCTCCCAGGGAGAGCCCCCGTCAATGCTCATGGCCATGTGTAACACCAGCTGTTTCTGCCATCCGATCCTACTGGATTTCCCAGGTCTAGCCAAGACGGCGCAAGAGAGAGGACTACGGATACAGTTCATCCCAACACCGACAGACGGCATAGCACCTTGGCCAGAAGAAACCAGGAAACAAAATAACAAGACATTAAACGAAACCACCCATCCATCCGTCAACCCATCGCATGTCAGGCCACACATCATCGGCTCTCGTGAGTCGTCGCGAACTCACCGCCCCCGCCCCCCGAATCCCGCAGACACAGACACGACTCTGGTTCGTTCGCTCCCTTGCATCAAAGTGCTCACAAATGATGTTCATCAGACATCAAAAATTCGACAACGGCGTCTGTCATCCTGAAGCCTGTCTTCTCCGCAACCCCTATGCCATTGCCGACAAGCAAACAAAACCGAACGAGGAGCGAAAGCCGCCACGAACTGACAGGCCCGGTCGGCCGAATGAAGATCACCACTTCTGCCACCCCATGCACCTCCATGCAACTCCATGCAACACCACAGGGCCTCCAAACCCTGCTGGGTGCAACGCAACAACACAGCCAGCCCGTCGCCCTGTCCATTCAGCGGCCAACTTTGCCAACTTGGTCTTCTCGACCGTCCACCCAGAGTCCCAGACTGCCAAAAACTACCAATCCTCGAATCAAATTCCCTTGGCTTAATCAGACCCTTGGCTTAATCAGAGACCCTTGTGTAGGTAAATCCATCCTTGCTCCGGCTATCCAGTAATTGGCCGCAGTCAAATCTCGACACTCCCCAGCAATCAATCAACTCCATCACCAATCCAGTCTGCTAGCGGCGACCGTTAATTACCACCGACTCGTCGTCCTTGTCGTCCCGGCAGCCGTGGCCGCCGTCACCTTGCACCTCCACGAAACTAGGCCTTGTTTAGCCACTTCGATCAGGCTCCAACCATGGACCATGGTTCCTTTTTCTCTGGGTCTTTTTTTATCTTCCATGGTTCGAGGCCGCTTGCCCTTCGTCAACCGTGCTGTGATGCACCTGCCGTGCGCTAACCGCCAAGTGCTCATACGAGGCTCGGCTCTAAGCGACGTAGCCGTTGACTATCTGCGCCGCGCAGAATCGAGTGTTATTGTCAGTTACCCCTATTTGATTACCGTCTCTGGACGGCAGACAAGCGCCGCTGTCCAAGGGTTCGAGAACAGAGTGCGATACCTCAACTCCAAGCACGTCCATGTCCTGTCCACGTCGCGATGTCGGCGCAGCACCTCTCAGACCTTAAGATCTTCGATATGACGGGTAGGAGCCGAATTAACTAGCTATTCGTACCTGCATCCAAATACGCGGAAGCGAAAGCCTGATGACTTCTCTGCGGCCTACCAATAATTCACTGATACCCAACTCGTCTCGTCCCAAATCTCCTGCTATCTGACCTGCCAATCTTACAAAGTCATTAATTGCGCTGGCGTCAATCGGCCAATGCCCCGATTTCCAATATTCAATGTCCAGACTTCCCAGGTTGTCCACAAATGGAATCTAAAGGAGTGGGGTCACAAGAGACTCGGAGAGATTCGGCTTATCGACCGTACTTGTCATTCATTTCGCCAAACAGACGAGCAAACAATAAAGTGGTCCTACTATTCGACTTGCGCGCCAACGACAGCAGCAGCAGCGACAACAGCATCAGCCAGCAGGTATTTCTACAGAACGTTGAAGAAGCAAAAGCCACGGACTTGGCGAAATCAATAACAGCCACCGATATACCCTGCCTGAACAGTCGCGGACGACCATTGGATCCGAAGAAGCCAATTGCTTCGGTAGCCGCCCGTCGCCTGGGAAATCCCCATCGCCTGCCACAGATCGCCAGTAATCGAGGCTTCAATGATTTCTCTCACTTTCTCTACGGATACTCTCCGCCACGTCGACAAGTTTCTGTTCGCCAAGATGAAGAACAATAAAACATGGGTATCCAATCAAGCTTTGATCACGGCCACGGCGTTCATCTACGATCAAGACAATGACCAAGAATCATAAGACGCGCTCTAACCACTATCGTCGAGTAACTACGTACCTGCGCAGCGGAATCCGCGCGCAAGACCCTCACTGTTCGTCGTCGCCTTTTGGCCGCTTCCCAAATCTCATTTCAATCATGACGTCCGCACATCCACCCCAATTTCGGAGGATACGATCGATCTACGCTAAAGCGCAAAGCAAAAGGCTGTGCAACCACTAACATGCAGTATCTTTCCACCTGAAACGTTGAAACATCAACAGCCTTCTGGGTCTTGGCCTGTAAGCTTCATCGCTCATGACAGGGAAGGCCTCTTTCGAAGGCCGACCAAAGGCCCGTGACAGAGAGTCATGCCTCGAGCCCTGCCCGACAAAGACCCTCCCCCTCATCGGCTTTGCGATGACGCCTGCCAGGCTTGCGTAACATGTCGGAATCGACGACGACACCCTCTCTTTGGTCTCCATCTGAAATCCCCCACTTCACGTCAAGATACTCGATTTCTCTATTGGCTCACGACTTCACAGTATTGGCGAGCAACTCACAGTCGATCCGCGGTATTGGCATGTCGTGATGCCAGCGAGAAGCAGCTCTTTCACTCATGACTTGAGCAGGGCTCACCAGGCCCATCCTGCCGCCCGTGTCTGAGACGAGAGCATTCCTCCAGCACCTCCGATCCATACCACCACGCGCCTCGCTGCCCACAAAACAACATCATCGTGAACACGAAACTTCGAGTCCCCGACTCACATGCGTCAACAAAGCCCGTGGTCGCATTCCTCCGCCACAACTTGTGAGGCCTCGATCACTTGGCCGCGCCCTGCCCAACTTTCGAGCCCCTTGCCATGTCTGGTCGTTTTCGCAGCCTCCCGGGACGGGACCACCATTGTTTTGCTTCGAGACATTGTGCAGAGACAGAGTCTGACAACCAAGTATCAAGAATGGACACTGCGGCACTTGAACCATGGACACCCCCTTCCGCGACTGAAGGCTGCCATCGACACATAGCGCATCCGGCCAAGCTGCGGTTACTATTGTTGCGAGAGGCTCTCGCAGTTATCAGTCCTTTTGCCCTGTAAATGGTCCGATGACCTAAGTGTTCACATAGTATGAGACGACTCGCGACGTCGTTGGTTTCCGCAACATTTCCGACTTTGGCACTGATGATCTACGAGCGATCGGCGCGTAGACCAGTCAAGGATTCTATTGTTACGGAAGCCGACGCAACTTGGGAAAGACATTCCAGTAGATGCAAGTTCTGCAATGCCAATGTTCGCTCCCTGATTCTTGGGACTTGCCTTACATGCGTCACTCTACAGAGGGTTAACTGCGGCGACGCGTTGTCGCATGAAGCGCGGACGTGTTACCATCAATGAAAGGGTATGTCGGCAAGTCGCGTTGCGGCAACCACAAGTTGGCGGATCTCAGACAATACTTGACGACGACACATCGTCCTCTCCATATGAGACAGCAGAGGTGGGCGAAGTGTTCATGGTTCGAATCAATAACCTCTCGTTTCACAATATCCCGACCTGGACGGAACTCGTTTGAGATCTGCCAGCACGTTAGTCTAGCTGGTTTGCTGGACTAGAACCAAGGCCAACTGGCTCCAGAACACGGAGCATAGTTGATGGGTGATAAAACTCCACCGATG